CTTACCTCAACTTGACGTATATAAAGTTTCCAATTGGCATAATATGATAGTATCGAACTCTGAAACTATAACTAGATATCACGCACTAACTTAACGTACCGTGAGTAAACCGACCAAACTGTGTTTTATTTATAAATTAGCACTTTCGATATCCCAAAGTTAGTACAAATAATATATGTCGGGTTATAGTCTTACATGTAAACACAGGAGTTCAACTGAAGTTTTTCAAAACATGTCTTTAGTCATACTGTTTGCTGTGAGAGGGACCAGAATCTGGCGAGGTAGGCATGTACCTTTGTGAAGGTTTTTCTTTAGGGTGTTCAATTTCCCCTTTACCCTCTGGTGGAGTGTCCCTCTCGTTGTCTCCTCCGGCTAGGGAGAGGGTCCTTGATCTGTCTGCATTATCTTACGGCAACCACATTTAGCTTTCTATTATGTAATTTTGAATCATCTCGGTTACAAACCTTAGTACACAGGATATATTCTCTACTTAGTGTCCTACAGTGGTTGGACACCCTCGGGTAGGCGGCGCATCATCTACTCTCAGGCCGTCGCTGTGTCACTGTCCAATCGGTGCTGGAGCTGCAGGTCCGAGTCTAGTCCTGAAGCTCAGCACACTTTGGACAGTGACACCAGGACGGGACTGAGAGTCAGTAGATGAAGGGGACTACGAGGGTGTCTAAGCCACTGTAGGAGCACCTGAAGTAGAAGATATATCGTGTGTAGTAAAGGTTTGTAAACCAGATGGATGACAAAATTTCATAATAGAAAAGCATGTGTGCCGTAGATAAAGTGCAGACAGACAGGACCCTCTCCCTAGGAGAGACAAGAGAGGGACTCCAAGAGGGAAAGGGGGAAATTTGAACCAAAAGAAAAAACCTTCAAAAAGGTACATGCTACACTCCCGATCCTCTCCACAGCATAACAGTTTGAACTATAAGACATGTTTGACACTCGGTGACTCTGTGTACATTGTAAGACTATACCGATTATATCGTTAATTTTGTAACTAACTTGGATAATCGAGGACTAATTTCAATAAATAAACACCAGTTTGGTTGGGTTTACACACGGTAGTAGAGTAGGCCGTGTATCTGTCAGTTAGTAGAGTCGATAACTATATTAGGCCAGATTGGTACAACCCTTTTTTATACGTTCAAGTGGGAGTAAGGGTCTTCTGCCCAAGACCAAGCGTTAGGTGGGTGTCTTTCCCGCAGGGAACCTCCCNTTTGTCGGCGAGAAGAAGAATTTTAAATTCTATCCTTCTACCCTAGTTCTATAGGGAGCCAGTGTAAGGCAGCCAGAACAGGAGTAATGTGGTACCTTTTCCTAACTCTGGTTAGTACACGTGCTGCAGCATTTTGAATCAGCTGAAGCGACTTAACTGACTTCTTGGTACACCCTGATAATAAAGAGTTACAATAATCCAGCCTTGAAGTAAAAAATGCATGGACTAGTTTGACTAGGGTTCAATCCTTTTTTACACTTTGACAGTTTAACATCATCTTTTTAAGTCTGTTATTCGTTCTCTGTCTTCATCAGCCGCTTTGAGATCAAACTGTATTATAACATGACTCATAAACTGTGAGGGTTAGTTCACTAATCTACCAGTGGTTAAGAGAAGAAATACATTTCCATTGTTTCAATATCATAGTATCATGAAAAAGTATTACTCGATTTCAAGTAAAAGTCCTGCATGAAAATGGTTTCTTAAATATATTTTTAAAAAGTGTTGCTGCCAAATGTAAATAAAAGAAAATGTGTCACATTTTGGGAAATGAGCTTTGCTTTCTTTCCAATAAATGGATACAAATATTGATACCGCTCATCTCTGTAACATGGAGGCTAGTTAAGCTTTAAGACTGGAAGTAAGGGCAGCTAGCCTTGCTCGCGTTTAAGTAATCTATAAAGTTCACTAAGAGAACAATATTTCCCCTTTTGGTGTAATCAAATTTCAAAAACTGAAATGTAAAAGTCATGTTGTGGTTTTTTCTTTGAGAATCTGTTTCTGTGTTTCCAGTTTTTGCTCTAAGCTAACTGACTTCTTGTTTGAGCTTCATATTTGGAATACAAACATATGAGCTTTATTGATTTTCTCATCTGACAAAAAGGTGTATAAGCGTGATTCATATTTTAAAGTATGTAGCTCAACAAGGGGAAACAGCTAGCTACCTTGCCCTTAACCAAAGTAAAAATATGCCTACTTAGTTAAAAGCTGACTTATTTAAACAATGTATCTCATTTGGTTGGATGACACATGAAAAGCAAAGTGGCAATGAAAATGTGTGGTTTGTAGTGGGAGTTGTGTGCTGGAAAAAGAATATCAAACTTTTCTTTGTGAATCAAAATTATTATGCAGAAAGAGTGCAAGTTTGCTAAGTACAACACATTACCTGGCAGTGCATTCAGACAAGGTTGTTATGCCGAACAGGAAAGGATGCATAAGGTTTTTTTTTCAGCACTAATGACAGCCTAATGGTTTCAGTGTTTTTGGAAGGTACTGTGAGCAGGGATTGTTATCAAATTTGCATTAGAAAAGCTTTTATACAAAAGGGTTTTTATAGAAAGATACTTGGCAAGGTAAGCTATCAAAAAAGTATTGTCATTCATGTCGAAACACCAGATATCTCATTTTTAATAGGCAGATTGAGGAGCGTAACACATCCTCCCAAGGAGATGCACCCATTGATTTTAATGACCCAGTAGTTGTTCTTTTTTAGCTACACCAACAAACCTCTTAATCTTAGCTCCACTAATGGTGACATGGCTTTTTATTGGAACATAAAAACCAAAGCATTTATGTAAAAGACTGACATTTCTAAAGGCTGTGAAGATTATTCCAAAAACTCTAAAATGTGATTGTTCAGGCAGTTCTTTTATCCACAAAATGAATGTTTCAAGGGGTCGTTTAAAATGACAGGTGGTTTTGTTTTTTATGGATGTGTACTTGGTCTCAAGGACAGATTTTTAGAGCAGTTTTTTTAACTAGGCTGGCAACTTTGGTGGCTGGCATCTCCTGGTGTCCAACAATCATACATATTCCCTTAATTGAATGCTTTAAATGCTCAAGTAATCTTAAAATGCAATTAAATTACGGGCCCATACCATTCAAAAGTAAGGATTACTATCTATTTAACCTGTTCATTGTTAATAATCAGCCATGTCAGTAACTGCAATTCAATATATATTGGATTATATATTTAAACATTTGAATTTAAATATTTATCAGCTCCAAAAAGTAAAAACTACAAGGGCCCTCGAAGAGAACAGACCTTCGTCAATGCCTTTACATAAGATCAATATTTGAGTTTCCACCCCTCGATTCAGATTTGATCCAAAGTGAAATGAATTCTTCCTTGACCCATGCTTCACTCTTTCACTAACTGAAAGTTGTTTTCCATAATCCGGCTGACAAACACAACAAACCAAATTAAAATCATAATATCCTGAGCAGAGGTAAGGAATTTGTCTCGGTTTTTCTAAAAGGCACCAGACGGGGTTTTTGCGGGACACTAATAACACTGACTTTATGACTTTCCGTCCTTTCCGCCTGGCTGTCTACAGACTCCTCAGTGCTTTTTACATTTTAGAGGATTTCTTTGTGCAGTAGCAGCTCCTTTTGTTCTCGTTCTGCAGCTGAGCGTTACTTTGATGTCTTGAGGCGAATGGAGGAAGAAAGAGGAGATACAGAAAGGAGAATTAGCGGGGAGACAGAGAGAATAGAGAAAGCCTTCCGAGTGAAGATGAGCAGGATCGATGGCTTGGGAGCCATTGAGAGAAGTGTGGGGTCTAGGACAAAGAACTCTGCTCCTTAGATACTCCGCTTGAGTGTCAGACCTTGGTAATAATGCAGAAATACTTTGTTCACATGAAAGCGGCTACTGTCAGCTCGCACATCCCTGTGACATTTAAGTCTTAATCAGAACTGAAAGTGAACGCACTGACGCTAATTGTAAAGCCGTAGGAAGTGTTTTCTTGCTCTACCTTCCTGTCTAGCTCCTGACTTAAGGTTCACCTATATTTAGCAGTGTACGTTGCTGTTATTTGGTATGATATGTCAGCAATGACTCAGAAAGCAGTCACCCTCTGAAAGTAAAAGCTGAATGACTGAAATTCCAGTGGAGAGGCACTCGGATCATTGCCAGTGTACATGAAGATATGCATGACTGATAAAATCATTGCATTGATGTGCTGCAATTTTATTTTGTGCACCCTAAATCAGTCAGATTAGTGTAGGAGGGGAACATTTGAAGGCGAGGCGGTCATCACTGCCCAGTATGAGATGTAAAAGCATTTGAGCCAGGCTGCAGGAGGTGAAGTCCAGATGGGAGTAAATTAACGCTTGGACAGGAAACAGAGAGGGGTTTGACAGATGTCTATTCCCTGGTGGGAAAGAGTCGATTCAACAGATGCTACAGGACTGTGCTGACTTACTCACACAGTCGCTGGTCTACAGGCTCATGCCGTCACTTGGACCAAAGTCACAGTGTTCTTGTCAGCAGTGATGAGGAAGAAAAAGGGAAGAGCACGTCTTGGTGATGCACCAACATTACACATCCAACCATCCACTGCAGTAGAGTAGAATCATGTTGTGGGGAAATAAATCAAACAGCTAGACCTGAGTATTTTGTTTATATATTTTTTTAAATGGACCTCATCAAGATTTCAGACATGTCGTTCCAAATAAAAATATGAGATGGAGTTCACCCCTAGTTATGGACCTACAGCGAAAGGTGGTGACCCGTCAGTGTTTACAACTTGTTTACTGCTGCCCCCAAGTGGTCAAACAAATCAGTTATTCCAGCCTGGACTATATCTGTATTTTTTTTTAGTCAAATCTGAAGAGAAAATGCACAAATACACAATCTTCTACACATGCACTCAGTAATCAACCTGTGAGTGCTCAATCAGTTGCTCATTTACATTTTCACAAAATGGATCTCTTGATCTTTCTTGATGGAAGATGCACCCCCTTGCTGGAGCACCTGTTTCTGAAGATCACTGTGTTCCTGCAGGATGTCATTAACTTGAACAGTGATTCTTAGAAAAACATCCAAACATGGGCAGATAAAATGGCACACTTGTGTTTGGCCCGAATTAGAAAACAAAGTCCTCACGTACATTACTGCTGTTTTATTTCCCAGGTGTCCGATAACTTTGTCTTCAGCCTGTTTGACCTGGACTGGGATGTATTCACTCAACATATTGAGGGTGCCATCAACAGAGTTCCTGCTCTGGAGCAGACTGGCATCAAGTCCACCGTCTGTGGACCAGGTACTAGCACACACACAGACACACACAGATACACACAGTAGTTCCACAAAATCATCATTTTTTATTAAAAATCCTGCATGCACATTTTCTAACAGTAGGTTTCAAAACCAGGATCAAGCAGCCTTCAATGGTCGAATTAGACGCATTAAAATGAATAGAATGTGTCCATCTGTGGAATACCTTATGCACCGCTGTACTGTATTTGCTCATGAATATCTAACCTAGCAGGCTATGAATGTTTTAAGAGGAGCCTGAGTTTTTATCCAGGCAATATCAGGTTTCGAAAGTGCTTGAGTAAGCCAATCTGTGGCTAGCCTGAATAGTTTCAGTATCGAATTGGGTTTTTCATCATCATAGTGTGATGCAGCTGTTTTCGAGAGACAAAATTACAACCAATTGTAGGGATGAATGACCAGAAGAAGACAGAAAAGGAAAAAAGAAAAGATAATTGAAAACATTGATGCATACTTAAAGGAATAGAAAAACATAAGAAGAGGAGAGGGGAGAGTTGAAAATCTAGTGAGTGGCGAGAAAAACAGAAGTCAAGGGGGAGAGAGCTCCGATGAAAGAGAAACAAAAATGATGGATTTTATCAAAGTTGTTGCATCTCCTTGGCAGTGACCCTCGCTTTGAGGCCGGCTTTTGTTTCATTTGAAGTTTTGAATCATAATAGTGCGCTTTCTTCAAATCCTGCATTGATATTGAGTCATAAGGTCACATGATGCTATCCAATAAAGAAGTAGCTGAAATGTTATAAAAATATTCATATAAAATAGGAAAACCCTTAAAATAATATTTAAAAAGGTGTGTAGAAACACAATATGGTATTTTGTTGGAGTCACTTGGTCAAATAACCATGAAGCAATTGAAAGAAATTCAAACTTTTCAATGAAAAACAAATATAATATAATACGTGGACGTAATTCCAATTAAGAGATGTATGCTGCTTTTTCTGTGTATAAAGAATATATTGTCTAGATTTGCAGTTATATGTTCATATGATATGAATGCTATTGAAAAGATCCAATATTAAGCACATTTTTTTAATGATAATATTAAAAATAATAATGCTTAAAAAATTAAATTCGGATACAAATGGGTTTCTCCTGCCTGTCCAGTTTTGTAAAAAAAAATGCTGCTTTGATTTGTAGACAGTAGGTCAAATTACAGGGTAGCTATTAAAAAAACTAAAATGATATTCGATTAAAACTTTTATGTAAAATCAATAGACATGCATTATCTTATAAAAAACTGACATAAAAAACTGACATAAAAAACAACTATTAAACTTATAGCACAGGGAAGACTTTAGGGACCTGGACAAAACTGTATCGCTATCACTCATCTTTTACACATAGTAGAAAAATGTGTCATATGTGGTCAACCAACTTTCATACAAAGTTTTTCTTGCTTCCTTCTGTTTTCAGAGTCATTCACAGCCGACCATAAGCCTCTGATGGGAGAGGCCCCGGAGGTCAGAGGGTTCTTCTTGGGCTGCGGCTTCAACAGCGCTGGTAAGTGCTGCAGGGACGGAAAAATCAAACATGGAACAGGGGAAGATTGTTAAGTAGAGAAAATAAAGCAAAGGGAGAAAAAGAGCGTACTTATATCTCCAATACACAGTTGTAAACAAACGATAGATACGTGTATGACTGACACTTTCAAATACTTAGTGTGTAAAGCTTTTCCTTAAGGGAACCATGAAATGATAGAGATAGAAAGGTCGAAGCAATCATCAGTACTTGGCAATATAAGCAGGGAGGAAAACAAGCAAGGAGAAGCGGCCGAAGAGTGTTTTCACCCATACTTTGACCCAGCCTTCACCAATCTCTGTGCACACTCTCAAGGCACAAATGAATAATGTAGGGGAGCATACCTTTGACATTAGCTGGGGGAGGAATGTAAGTCTCTCAGATGTCTGAATACCAGAGAGAGAGAGAGGGGGTGTAAAGGGTAAAGTAATCGCCATCAGTGCTAACAGACGTTTGAGAAAAAGCTTAATAGCTAAAGATCCCGGGGTCGAGAGGTGGAGCACTAATGAGCGAGCATACAGTCGTTTTTACACTCACGCATAACAGAGACCATTGTTTTTTGCTTCAGAAGTGTCGTTTTTTTCCACGTTTGATGCAAACTGCTGATGGATCCCTGCTGCTGTTGAAAAGTGCCTCGTTTGCTCTCTTATGCCCTTACCACTTATCCATGAGACACTCGTTCTGTCCATTAGCCTGATCGTAGGTCAGTTAGCAACTTGTTATCCATTGTCAGGTTAACCAGTGCGCACACACTGCGTTCCCTGAGCCGCTGGTTCCTTTTATAACTCTATTCATTAGATTGCATAAGGTTTTTACATATGATTGGAATAAGGTGATTTAAGCAATTTGTTTATTATGAGATCATTCATCATCAAGGACATTATGGTACATTTCTGTAACTGATTTGTTGTTTAAGTCCAGACAAAACAAGTGATTGACTTCAGATTGGGCTTTTTGGAATTGTATTCGGAATATCCTTGTTCAAAATGAATAAATAAATACCTTTTACTTTTTTACATGTGTTAATAATAGCCTTTATTTGAACATTTAGAAATAAGAATAGAAAGGGATAACAAACAATAAAAGTCCCAAGGTCAGAATCGAACATGGACGTTCAACCCTCCTTGTAAATCTTTATTTTGTTTCTACTTGACGCAAATAGAAATGTCACATTCCTATCTGAATCCAGGTTGATAAAATATTGCATTCCCCTTGTCCTCTGGCTTTGATTTGCCAAGCTTTCACCAGGCTCATTGAAATGGGCCCAGCGTCCCCCAGCTATCACACCATCGGTAACGGGGACTTTATTCTAATAAGGAATTTCTTCCTGCCATGCACAGCAAGGGTATTCTAAATGCCTTTCACTTGCCTGACACACACATATCTGCATTCAGCATGCAAAAACACAACAAAACATCAGAGTCCGATCAAAGCAGGAGCTTAAAAACGTCCACCTTTCCTCATGTAGTCCTTTATTTATCCTTCTCACTTTAATGTCTTTCTTTTCCCTCTGCGCCCCTTTGTCCTCTCTCTATTACACCCATCACAGAATAACTTTTAAAGCCTCCAGTTGTTTCGGCTATCTTGGTGTTAATTTTAGTTTCCAAGCAATCAGTAACTCTACGTACTGCAAGTTATTTTTGTTACCTGACAACATTAAGTTAGTTAATTTGTGTCACAACAACCATGCTGAACTTTTAGTTATTTATTTTCATTATGGTTCTTTAATTGCTTTGAACTGCTGAACCTCTCGCATGTATTACCAAGTTGCTTATAGTCATTATGGCAAGCAGAGTTAATTTACAGCTCTGGTTGCTTCTTATTTTACTTTACAGGTTACACAAATGAGATAGATTGTGTAAAAAGTTGTCTTTACAGATGCTGGTATTAAACATTTGACATAACCTTACTAGCAATCTTTATGCTAACAAATCCTCCAAGGTGTTGGAATGTCTGACCTACAACTCATAAAAACGTAAAGATTTAAATCAAATGTATCACAGTTCGTCCTAAATAGAGGTTTAATTTGCTTACGCTACTATGGCAGAGAAGGATAAATACAATTTGGCATGTCTGCTTCGTCTTCAAAAGCATCGTTTTAATCACTAGCGGCATCACTTTAAATGTCAGAAGAGAGCAACTATCTAAAAAGAATCTGATGGCAATACAGAAGAGGGGAGAAGGGGTGATATATAATGACATGGAAAGGAACAAATGTTTGCGCAGCATAAACGAACAATCATAGAGCGAGATAGCGATAGCGGGGAAGCAGACAGAGAGTACAAGGGCAGGAAGGAGGGGTGATGAGATGAGTGGAAGCACCAGCGTAAGGGTTCACACGCAGATCCGCGCTCACACATCAGGGCACTTATCTCGGGTGACATTTATCAGTGCCACCTCGCCTTCTTGGTTGTCTCCACGTTGTCTTGGGAGAACTCCATCATCGCCCTACCGCCTTCCTCCTCCCTCCATCCCTCTTCCTCCCTCTCCACCATTCAAACATCCACCCCGGCTTGGCCCGGAGTGACAGTGTCCGCAGATGAGTGAAGCGATGAGAGATGAAGGGAGAGGGCCTGCTGTGAGAGATGGGGGTGAAGGAGGGATGCAAGGACACTGTGTGTGTGTGTGTGTGTGTGTGTGTGTGTGTGTGTGTGTGTGTGTGTGTGTGTGTGTGTGTGTGTGTGTGTGTGTGTGTGTGTGTGTGTGTGTGTGTAAAAAAAAAGTATGCAGATGACCAGCAACACAAGAAGGGGGTTTCTGGAAGAATGCGGCTCATTAACCCAGCTGTTTTTGGAACAGACGGATAAAATATTGAATTTTCGGGTTGAAAAAAAACAGCATACTTCAACTGATGAGTTCAGATTGCTCAGAGGCGAGGGTCAAATCACTGACAAAGGTCAAAACCATCCTCTGTATGTCTGATGACCTATAGAGGCATTTCTTCTCTTTTCCAAACTAATGAGACATACTCACAGCCCTCCAGGCAGACGGACAGTGAGAGGTCCTTTATGTTGTTCACATCTTGTTTTCTAACCAGTAATCTGTGACAATTGGATGTGATTTGGGTATAGATTTTGAAACCAACAATCATTTTCATTAGCAGTTATTTTTCTCTATTCGTTTGATATTTCATCGACTAAACAATTATTTCAATACAGATAAATGCATAGCTAGAATTGTTGAGTTGAGAAGTTCTAATGAGTCCGATTGTGTTTGTGAGCTTTAAGTCGTAATGTGGAAACAACATCGATGCTTCAAAGAAGATGTGTTGTAAGTTATTCCTCAAAGCGTTCAAAAACTTGTTTATAGTAATATGATAACTCTTTATAAATCGCTTTTCATGCCTTGATGAGGCGTTCACATGAATTTACCCAGTAGAGAAACAACATTTCCAGTTATTCCAACAACACATTCAACCTAAGTTTCAGGGCCATTCGTTTTTCATTGAATCCTGCTGATAAAAGAAGAAGCAGACAGACAAATGGAGATGAAAACACACCATCCTTGGTGGAGGTCATGAATCCAAAACCAAAGACATTCAATCAAATCCTCACTTTCAAATATTAGATAAAGCTAAATTGCCCTTTTTTTGCTTAATTGACTTGCTTAAGTTATGAAATGTTTTATATAAGGAACTGAAAATGACATCTGTGTTATCATTTCTTTCCCTTTTTGTATTTGTTTCTGTCAGGCATGATGCTGGGAGGTGGTTGTGGACAAGAGCTGGCTCACTGGATCATACATGGCCGCCCTGAGAAGGATATGTACGGTTATGACATCAGGTACATCCAGTAGGCATTAGGATCATTTATAATGGGGGCTGCACCCTGTGTATTTTGTTAAGGGCCACTAAAGGATGGAGAGAGAGAGCAGGTCGCAGGTTAACCCTTTTGAAAATGTTGCTAATAATGTGAATGACACCCCCCCCCCCCCCCTTGAATCACCTGCAAGGCACATCAAATGCACACTAAGCCTGTATACAAACAAACAGTGATTAAAGTACGTTTCATACAGATGGAGCCACCCTACGAAGCAGAAACATGCTTTTAATAATCAGCTGAGCATTCTAGCAGAGGACAGCACGAACCAGAATAAAAACGTTTTAATGAACTCGGAATGCGTGTGACTTCTAATGAGCGTTTATCTTTTGAATTCGTCTCCCTCCCGTCTCAGGCGTTTCCATAACTCGCTGACAAACAACCCAAAGTGGATCAGAGAGAGAAGCCACGAGTCGTACGCTAAAAACTACTCTGTGGTGTTCCCATTTGATGAGCCGCTGGCCAGCCGCAACATGAGGAAGGATCCTTTTCATCAGGTAAATGAACGCCTCAGCGGTGTGTATTGAAGAGTTCAAGGAAACATCCAGTTGTGTGTCTTTCCTTGTGCGATCTAATCAAGCTGCTTTCAACTGTGGTTTGATGAGTCATTTAAGTTGAGTCACCTTGGGTTTGAAAGCAAATACATATTTTTCTCTTAACATGTTATAAATGATGCAAAAAAGGATTACTCTAACATTGACAATACTGAGCACTCAATAACTCCACTTTGTCTGTCCCTGTTATATTTGTAGACTGTTGTTTTTTTATTTATCTATATTGTGACTACACACAGTATTCAGTTTGTGTCTTTATTGGAAGAGTATCATTAGTCAAACACATTTTTTTTTCTTCTCCTATTCTGGCTTATTTCCCCCGAGATGTTACAAAAACCATATTCATAAATAATGTTCCTCCATCTGGTGAACATTAAGTATAACCTTGGCTCTATTCTAACACTTTCAGTTAGGTAAGCAGGGCTTTGACTTTCTGCGTAAAAGTGTAGGCAGAGCTGTGAATCTTTCAGGATTTAGACCTTTTGGCTTGAACATAGCTGAGGGGGAATCTTTCTGGACCCATATTGACTAGGTTTCCTAACATAGATGAAACCTGCTTCACTCTCTAAGTCGCAGGAGCTTCTCTGCTGCCATATAACCTTCCTGGCATCTTCAATCTCTTCCTATATTTGTAGAGGTTGCATGACTCACCTCTTTTTCTCGTTTTCTTCTCAAGCCATTTATTCCTCTCTCTTTCCCCCATGCATCTACCCACGGCCTTCAATTTTATTTCTCTCTGGCATTCTCTTTTTGACGTCCTCCAAGATCAGTTTTCTCTCCTATTCATCCTTCTATTCAGACTTAATGTCTGCTTCTCCCTCTCTCTCCTCTGGGATCGCCACTGTCTTTGTTCTCGCTCCAATTTGTGTTTTTGTTCGAGAAAAGAAGCGGTTATGGCATTTCCCTCCCTCTTCTGACCTCTTTAATCGCAGCATCTGATTGGATAATTGAGACAGTAATGAGGCGAAATCAATATAGTAACAATGCCACTGAACCCCAGGTTCTGCAGGCTTCAACAGTGCAGAGAACACATTGAATTGAGTTCATTTCAGCTGCAAATAGGATTGTAGAACTGAATGTACACTTTCATGTCTCTATCCTTTAATATTTTGCCGAGCTCGTCTTGAAGCACTGTTGATGTAAGTGTTAAAAAGATATCATCTGTCAAACTGTGACCCCTTCTCGCTCATTACTCTCAGTATGTTTATATGTGTCTCTCCTCCTGTCTTCTCTGCACAAATCTGGAGGCAAAAAGCTGATTCAGACTCCGGCAGACAGCAGTGTAACTTATCCCCTGCAGCTACACTTATTAATGCCATCCTTGCCAACATGAGTATAAATGATACACTTAGCTTCGGTTACCGGTTCTCGGATGTCTTTCTGCTTCCTTTCTCTCCTTAGCCAGACACAAACTCCTAATGGGCCTCGCCGCCATATTTTATGCATTAATGACCCACATACCCTTGCTTTCCTGTTCCAGACTTTATTTACCTGTTATTTAACTGTTGCGGTTTTCACCCCCGCTTACGCATGAGGGCATTCTTTCAGAACGGATTACTGTCAAACAAATTGCATTAGTGATGCTGTCAATGTGTTTTGTAGATCATGCTTACTGCTTTCTTACAGCTTGTTTTATTAAGCTTCTCTGACACCTTTCATGCATAATCGACCAGATTTCCCAGAAGGTTCTTTAAGATGTTGTACAGAATGAGCACTAACATTACGTGATGTTCATTTTTATTTAAATGTTTTTCAGTAAGTAGATTGTGTCTTCATAACAAGTGTTTGAATGTACTTCTGTTTTAGATTCATAACTGTGTGCTTTATTTGTTGAACTGATTTTAAAAACACATGTTGTACTTCAAAAGGATGGACTTAATTTGTATGATTGACAGCTCACAAGAACTTGAGATAAAACAGATGCACTGCTTTTTCTTAGAAAGCCTTACTTGCAGCATAATCCAAGTATTGCTGTCAAGGTCACTTTGTATCCCCTGTGTTTTCCAAAAGAGAGTACCATCTGTCTTGAGAGAATCACACCATTGACGTATGACGCGCGTGCAGGCAGCAATAGAAATACGTGAAAGATGTACCGTGGCCAGAGTTTGCTTCTGTGTTCCACTGCAGTGCAAACTTAATCATTACAAAAATGTGTAGGCCACATTTAATTGGTGATTTCCATTTGCAATAGCATTTGAAGATACTTTTTAACATAGAAATTGGTTAACACTTTAAATGCTCAACAGGTTGTCAGCATGCAGTGTTATATACAGGCATATCTTCCATCCTGTTGTACAACACTGTATCAGTATGACTCAATTTCTCACTATTACAGATCCCTCTAGCCAGCAATGAATACTTACATTTGCATAACAAGTGCCGGATCAGGTATTATCATGTTATGTTCAGTATAATTATGACATCAGATCTTATGCTAGCCGGCTACAGTAAAGAGCACTGAAAGGACACAAATAGTCGCTCTCAGGTAGACGGACTGTTGCTTGAAGGAGAGCATGCTCCCTGTGAGAGTGGGTTGGTCCAACCCTAGGCTGCCAGCCCATTAGACCCCTGCTAATCACTCGTCGAGGGCCATCACCTAGCAACTAGCCTTCCTGCTGTCGGAGTGCCTCAGATAAATGCAAGGGTGGCTGAGTAACTCAGAAAAAAAAACCACAAGAAGTCTAATTATTATTTTTTAAATGAGCTTTTTGTTAAAGATACTCTCTCTTGCTCCTCATCACGGCGCCATGTATTGTGGGTAAGAGCTACTTAAGGAGTTTGATCCGCCAAGGGAGCTCTGCAAATAATGAGACTGTCTGCTTTTAGGAGGCAATTCGAGATTATTTCAGAAAACAAACAGGCCAGCTCTGACACTGCTGCTTCCACGTTTTCTCCACCTCGGTAGCACAGAGGGTAATTATAGCTTGGTGTGGGAAGTTTTGGCAAAAGACAGCTAGCTGCCTGCTAGGAGGAGAGCATAGCAGTACATACCTACCGACTGTGGGCGACTGTCAATTTTAACAAGGACGATGGGGAGTGCGGAAATATCTTGTTTTAACACTGGTCAAGTAATCAAGGATTAACAAGTGTACTATATTTGTTGTGTTGTACTCAGTTAAAAGCTGCACTTCCTCATCATCAGTGATTGTATATATTTTATCTTAAAGGTCCCCTATTATACTTCTTTTCATCAATATATTATAGGTCTCAGACATATACAAAACATGTCTCTGAAGTGTTTGGCTCCAAACACCAAATAGATCATTGCAGCATCCCATAATCCCCTCTGTTTCAGCCCTGTTTCAAAAGTGCTGATTCTCTGTCTGTGTCTTTAGATTAAAATAAGGAGCCACTCCCCACGCCCCTCTGAGAGAGATTTGGTTAAAAAGAACACAATGGTGCTCTAGGAGGAGATTCAGGTGATAAGGTGTGGGGAGGGGGGTTACCTTGGTTGGTGATTGGCTAATGGTCACACAAGCCAAAAAATTGTTCTGACATCATAAAGTGACCAAAATCTGATCAGCTCATTTTCAGACAGGTTTCTATATAAATGGATCAGGACACAAAGAGAGTAAATATTTTTTCCTGAAACTTTCAGAATCCCTTTCCACAGAGGGGACACATGTTTATGTATAAAAGACATGAAAAAGTGGCTTTTGCATAATAGGTGACCTTTAACATGGGATAAAATCAGTATGCGTAATGTGAAGGGTTGTTGTGTTTGAACTTTGAGTGCCTTTCAGCCCCACGGAGCGTTTTAGTGTCCTTCAGCTAAATGTTTTGGATCAATGTTACTCGTTGGTTATGTACTGATTCCCGATTTGTTAACGGTTGTATATATGTCAGCTGCATGTACTGATTTGAAGTCTTTGTATGTGTGTGTTGTTGTTTGTCCTAGGTGCTGACGGAGCAGGGCTGTGTGTTCCAGGAGAGGCACGGCTGGGAGAGACCTGGCTGGTTCAACAAAGATGGGGCTGCTCCTGTGAGACACTTTCACTGCACTCATTTATTGTACACAAGCATGTGCACGCTAATGATTTATTCACATCTGTGTATTGACATAGGCACTTTGAGAAACATAAACAATTAAGATGCAAATTCTCCCAAAAGGCTTGCCAAAAACGGACAACAAGGAAACAGAATCTGGCTCACTGCTTTGTCCTCTGCTCACATGGAAACAGGGATGATTAATTAGCCTCTAACTGCTTGTTTGTCTGTTTCGAAGGTTAAAGACTACGATTACTATGGGGCTTATGAAGTTAAGAAGAATGAAAACTACAAATACAACGAGTTGCTGGGCAAAGAGTACACCTTTGACTTCCCTCCGCATCATGAAGTGGTAAGATATCAAGCGTAAATGTGTGAAGATGAGTGTGATTCAGTAGAGTAATGTTTTTCGATTACATGCCGCTTTCCTTTTTGATAAACGTGAATTGGTCAAAAAAGAAACTCATGGTAGCCAGATGAGTGTGAAGGCTCCCGTGAGAAAAGGGCACATGTGTCCTCATGGGAAACAATCATGATAGTGACGAGAGAACAGTCAGAAAGGCTATTGGTGCATCAAGTGCAAACAAACACATTAGCTCCACGCCACAGAAGGAAATTGGCAACCTTAACGTCAGCAGCACTCTGTTTTTCATTTAAAATCACAGTGGTAATGACATTTTCCTTCAAGGATCTAGCTTTAAAATCTTTAAAAAGTCACAGACTGTTGGTTAAATGTGTGTTGGGTTTTTTCTTTTATGATTGCAGATTAAGAGTGAGTGCCTCACGTGCAGAAATGGCGTGGTGGTGTTCGACATGTCCTACTTTGGAAAGTTCTATCTGACTGGACCAGATGCCAAGAAGGCAGCTGATTGGCTGTTCACGGCTGATGTCAACAAGAAGTCGGGTCAGTGTGCTGCAGCGAGAACACACACACACACACACACACACACACACACACACACACACACACACACACACACACACACACACACACACACACACACACACACATACACATACACATACATACACACACACACACACACACACAGATGGGCGAAAGATTGACAGAATGAAAAGGGCAAATTCATGGAAGGAAGGACTTAAACAGATGCCAACTTCTTAGGAAAACAGTAATCTTTGACAAAATCTCAAATACAACAAATATTAAATGCTTGTTTTTGGTTTTTGTAGCTGTTCCTGTTTTTTGCAATGACAGCTTTGTACGAATGGTAAAAATAATTATGTGGATATTCTATTATTTCTCCCCTTTTTCCTCCAATTTCTCACTTCAACCACTGTCTGTTTTTATGCCTGAATAGGATGCCTTTCCTCTGTGTTGACAGGGATGTCAGAAACTCAAGTTCTGAAAGAATGCCAGGACAGATATACCTTTTAGTTTTAAAGTCTCTTTGTCTGGGATTGGAAAATGTCTCTCAAAGGTTCCACCACTGAAAGGAGACCTGCACATGCCACCCTACTTGTCATGGGGAGCACTTAACTTGTAAAAGCAGTTGTGTAATATCAAAACAAATTCAAAGGAAAAAAATTGTTCCAACGGTATTGTCCCCTGTCATGCAACAGTGTAGCGACATGGTTTAAATGGAATCTTTAATCATTTAAGTCTTCTTCTTTTTGAGCAAAAACTATTTCAAATGTAAATAAATACATTTGATGACTGAATTATGTCGTAATCTTATCTTTGTTATAATAGCAATTATTAAAGGGACCAAGAAAAACATAGGTATAAGAGGTGATTCCAGTTTTTAGCAAATTGATCAATAACATCATAACCGTCTAGGCGCATACAGACACAATATAATCGGCTTCAATTTATGGATGTGAAGTTTTTGCCATTTTTCAATTTTAACTATTAAACTCAACACTGTACAGTTTTGAAAATACAGTAATAACTAATTTAATAGCATAACATATAAAATGTAGACATACAGTTATTAAATACAGCATTATTCACTCTCAAAGATAATAATTAATTATGGAAAAGTTTTTCATAAGCCACCGCTTTTCCATCTTAAATTACATTAAGAAAAAAGTGCATTCAATTGTTCGAGTAACCATTTCAGCTTGCACTGCTGCTGTTTACTTTCTGTAAACTGTTTTCATATTTTCTTTTGTGCTTACATCTAATACCACTTTGTTATCCTCCACTCATTATGCCATCTACTGTAGATCTCACCCCACCTACGAAGGTGGTTTTTCAAATGCTTTCTCAACATCTTAAATGACGCATCATTTGACCTTGCTTTCCCACTTACAGCAATCACAGTGGTCACACTTGCTCCGAGAATATTTAATGTCTCAGCGGGCCGACTTATGCTACGCTAACACATTCACACAGCCTTTCCTTTAGCAGCATTGACAGTTTACTTGTAACATCAATCATTTATTTCAATGAGAGATGACAGAGGGACAGACACACATTATCACATCACTGAAGATCTCGTTGGCCGTGGACGACGGGAATGTTATTATTTGTCTTCTGTAAATAAATACAGACTTCTACCATAAGTGAAATATTTCAGTCATGTTATCTTTATGAATATGTTCATTAAGCTATGTAATCATGTTTCCTTGGTACTATTTTACAAAAATAAAAGGTTAAATTGTTGTGTATTTCTAGAAGCAGAGGTTTACAATTATTGCCCCTTTAAAGCAAGTTGTGAAAGAAGTAAAAGAACACTTGAGTTTATTAAAAAATATTATATTCCTACTCAAAGGTGGGGGCGGGGGAAATGCAGACAAAAGGTCAGAAGCTAGTTACCTCACAAATAATGGGTTACTGAAGATTGACCTAAAGTTCGGGTTTATTTTTCGTTTTGAGATTACGTTCTGTGAGACTGCACACTTTAAATTGGCCCACAATTTCTGCCAGAGGAATTCATTGTTTATTTGTGTGTTTTAGGCTCCACTGTGTATACCTGCATGCTGAATAAGGGAGGAGGGACGGAGGCTGACCTGACGGTGAGCAGACTGGAGCCTGGTGCCGCCAACATGCCCCTGGCCCCACAGTCCAATGGTGAGCCACAGTGTGTTTTGTCTGTGATACTGCTATATCTGTTGCTCTCTCCATTGTTACAGTTTTCTCTTTATCATCACATCAGTGTTGTTTATTTTAATTTGAACAATTTATTTATCTGTTGTTGGAAGTATCTGTCATTACATTGTATCTCATTTTGGATTTATGGTTCTTTAGCTCTGTTTAACGTATTGTTGTGTCTTTATCCACCATTTTGCTCCTACCTGTATCTCTTTTGTTGTGTTTAATGCCATCTTATTTGTCATTGTACTTAAATTCCCTCTCCATTTAATAATGTGTTTTCTTATTTTTAAATCCCCTAAAATCTATGAACCTGTCTAAACTGAATAATACATGTGCAGAGAATTTCACATTTCTGTGCTGAAAAAGGGCGATGACTGTGCACTCTCCTAAAATCTGTGTTTCAAACACAGCTAGATTTGGTATGTCATAACATTGAAAGGCAATCGTTGTTGTGTAGCTGTTGACACAACATCTGCAAAGAAACAGGAAACCTTCAGCGCAGAGCAGTAGGCCTACAGAGTTTACATCAATCAAATTTTTGACAGCAAACGTGGTAGTGTGGCCGGTTTTTGCATGTAAACCAGACCCTGAAGCTTCCTTCCAACAACTACCAAAACATCCCACTAGAGATGATTGGATATATTTAAAACCAATAACTAAGTAAGCTACTGCAAGCAACAAGCTAACAAGCTAACTTACAACATAAGCAGGTAAAAAATGGTTATTACTTTCCACTCTGATACTGTTGCTTGTCGCAGATGTCTCAAAACGGAATCTTCTCCAGACATGTATTACTGAATCTCTCTGGAGTTTCCTCTTATGGAGAAACAGACACCAAAACTTTCGGGAGCCGGTTGCAGAGCTCTGTGCTGCCATTTTGATGCTATCATCGTACTGTAGCACAAGTAGTGTTTGGGAGGGAGAGGCAAAATAAAGAGTAAAAAAGAGATGTGGTCCCAACCCCTTTTTTTGGAAGCTATGTTCAACAAAATGTGTAACAGCAGAATATGCCATAGTATTTGTGTTGTTGTTGTGTGTTTCTTCTGTCAGCCGTCTTTACTCCACTTAACCAATTTTAATGTATTTCCTGTCTTTGCTCCAGGTGATGTATACTACCTGGCCATTGGAGGAGGCGTGGCAGAACACAACTGGAACCACATCAGAACCGTTCTTCAGGATGAAGGCTTCAACTGCCAGCTAACGGACCACTCTGAGGACATGGGGATGATCAGCATCCAGGGACCCAAGAGGTGAGGAAACAAAAGAGTGATGGAAGACGGCTACGAATGAATGGAGACATTTTTATGATTCATGGATCCAGGTGAAGAAAAGGACAAAAGAAGAGGGTTGGAGAAGAGAATAAAAAAAAAAAGAATAGAAGGGTTATGATTCACATCGTAATCACAAGCAATTGTGAAACAGAGAGGAAGAGCTGTACGATCAATAAGAGGAAAGCGGGTTAAGTGCCCATTCTCGAGGCCATAGGCGTAAAGGTGAGAGGCAGTGTGCAGGGACGGAGGGTGATTGAAAACAGGAGACAGAAACATGGGGGTTAAAGAGGTTTCTGCCGTTTAATGGAGCCATTGGCTATTTGATGCTGTAAACCGTTCAAAGCTAATTTAAATCTATTTCTCATCTGGGTGAGTGGTAATGATACAAATCAATGGCGCTCTATGAGTCAACAACAGTTTGCATCTTGGGTTAGGGTGAGGTTCATGGGCCTGACTCGTCAATATTTCACCTGAATCATGCTAACGCGAAAAGTTAAAGGCATGAGCAACTACATGGCAATGTTTGTCTATTAGTAAGTCACCTACTGTAGCAAAGATCTAATACTATCATTTGTATTAATTCGTTTTTTCAATTGCGGCATCATTTCATCTGCTGTAAAGAATTACTTTTTTCATTTTCTGTTGTTTACTCGAGGAAGAATTGAAAGAAATTTATACTGTCTGCTTTTATAGGAAAACAACTGGAACCAATTCTTTATAATCTATATAATTTATTTTGGTTTAAACCAGAAAAAACATTGTTCGGTTTATTTTTTCCAAAAGGCCATTAAGTTCCATATGATGACAATATTTGTCACTGCTAACTCTTTCAGTTTTAGCTTAGGTTTATGTTTGTTTGTTTGTTTGTTTGTTTGTTTGTAGCCTTTATTTAACCAGGTAAAATCCCATTGAGATCAATGATCTCTTTTTCAAGGGAGACCTGCAGCACATTATGATTATAACCCTGAGTGGAATATCTTATCAACCATCCATCATTTTATGAATTGTAATACATTTGGTGATTGCTTAACTTCCCCTTCATTTGTCTAATACTCTGCGCTTCTCTGGGTTATGACCTTTAAAATGACTCAGCTTTAGGTATTTTGTAATAACTTTTTCCTCATGACCAAATAATTAATCCAGGAATATTATAGGATAACCATTATAGTAGACACTGGTGATGTTATTTTAGGTCTCTAATCCGTACACTCTACTTTTCTCTGCATGATATTAGTAATGAAAGGTAATCCTATAGAATCATATCTCTTATCCCACATCCCTGCCATAAGGACTCCCCTGTGTTAACACTACAGTGATGACCTTCAAAGTATAAATGTCAAAAACTCTGTTTACTGAATTTGTATTACACCTGTGACATTTTACAGCCTGCTGATTTTACTGATGGAGGACAACCAGGGACTGTGATGTATTTTCTCCATATAACTTCAGTTTTTTAAATGAAACATAACCGAACATAAGACTCACAGTTTCCCTTTTACCCTCATCCATCCGAACCATCATCTATTGATTTATTTGTCAGGAGGAGAAATCTTGTTCTGTACGTGGGAAAACAGTACCTCACATTTGGACATGGGCTGTAGTCCAAGCTTGTCACTCTCTTCTTGCAGTTTTCCTTTTGTTGTACTCTACTCAGATAGCAAGTAGGGCCACCTTTTACCTCTCCCCGATCTCTGTCTCTGAACTCCTCGTCTATCTTTTCCTCCCCTCTCACCTCCTCTGCCCCCCCCACCCTCCATGCACCCTGCGTCTTTGTTGTTCCCTCTCCCCAGCAGCAGGGTTAGGCCACACTGTTTTCTGTGTGGGCTATGTCGATTTCTTCTTCTCCTTGAGGCTTTTCTCTCATCTTCTGTTCTCCTCTGTTTCTTCACTGTCAGACACATGTCTCTGTAGATCTTATCCAGCTCTTTTTTTAAATCTCTCTTCTCAATCGCCTATTCTCTGTGTCCTCTTTCCCTTTGTCAGATTGTTCTGTTGCTCTTGCTCTTATTGCTTACGTCAAACCAGAAATCAGTGCGTCACTAGCAGCAGAAAGCCAATATATACTGTGTGTGTGATTATGACTTCCCACATGCTCATAAAAGGTTGATTATGTAGCTCATTAAGTTTTTCTGAACATCCAAAGTGCATTTAGCTTGTGAGTGTCTGTATTAAAATCACATGTTTGCGTATATCAGTAATATAAACAAGATTAGCGTCTGTATTGCATCTCGTAATGAATCCCAGCTACCATGTTATTGTTTCTGCCACAAATGAGGAATTGCTAAAATCGACCCTCTAATGTTTGGGGTTTGTTTTCTAAGATAGCCAATTGATCTCTTTAAAGTTTGAGGAGATGGAAAATTGCTGCGTTCAAAATAATTCATCTCTCCCCGAGAGAATTCCAATTCTCCGGAAGAAGGAGTATCTGGATTTGCAGCTTTTTGCTCGCACAGCTTGCAACAGGGTGCTCGTCTGTTGCCTTGTAATTATGAACCATATTGATAATATATTAAATCATGTGAGAGAAGACATATGTGTTTCTGTACTGTATGTATTCATAATCTGATTCACAGCTGAGAGCCACAGTTAAGTGGCAAGTCAGAGAAACAAATTGGTGGTTTGCTAGACTCCGGCTACACACACACACACACACACACACACACACACACACACACACACACACACACACACACCCGGTCACTGATTGCATATAGCTAATTGGCCTTGCTCTTGGTCCTGGGAGTTCAGTGAGTTACTCAAGGGAAGACAGAAACTGGAGAACAGCCCGAAGTGAATATTAGCCTGTGCATTATACAGTACTGGCTCACCCATGCATATATGCAAGAAATGTTTTATTCACATACGAACATCCCCGTTTCTACATCCAACTATGAACACATCAATTGCTGTAGGAAAAAAAGTAGGACGCCCCCACACAGATACACAAGCATGTACATCACACGCAAGCATAACCTGGACCTCCTCCCCAAATATCTTCAGCCTTGGCTTCATGCCACACTGTTTCAAAAATATTGCCTGTATACCTGCCCACTCACAAACACACACGCAGCATAGGAAGCTAAACTTAGTGTTTCTTTCTGTTGACTCATCTTTATGTAATATTCATTCTTGATGTGTTTGTGGGAGAGGGGAAAATGGTTCTATAGCAAATATAATAAGTGTTTGTTTTGTTTTGCTTTCTTGAACATCTGATATTCGAGTAAGCAAATCTAGTATCTTTCTCCACAGCAGTTGCACAGGTGCCGGTGCTAAATATTTTTGACTGAGCATCTCTGTTTCTGTGTTTCTCTGTATGTGCAGTCGAGAGGTGCTGCAGGAGGTGTTGGACGCCGACCTGAGCAACGAAGCTTTCCCCTTCTCCACCCACAAAGTTGTCAGCGCAGCAGGGCATCAGGTGAACACACACACATTAAGTGAGCTGAAATCTGAGACTATGTGCATGCATGTGTGTGATAGATGTCTGTCCTGACCTTTCTTTTCTAAACCTCACTGCCTTCTATCTCTTTCTACTTCCTCCCCTCAGGTCCAATAACTCCAAACTCATAAATAGAGTAACTGCACAGCTGTTTACAAGCACTTGGAAAACCATATATTTATACTTTATTCGGTTTTCCAAACAGTTGGGGGAACGGTCAAATAAGCCAAATTAATACTGGCAACAACCTCCTGTTAAATTACGCTCTACAGTATATGTACGAAGGGGCGAGTAAAGCATTTGCTTCTGGCTGCGAAGCAAATTCTAATGGAGATGTCTTAACTACAACCAAAGGCAATATGTGGTTGACCCCACTTCTTACTCAGAATCACAAGAATCAGAAACAGGTATATTAACACATACGAGTAATTTGACTTGGTGTTGTGGTGCAGACGGAAAAAACAAAACAAAAATGTAAAACACAGATAGAAAACTATTTGAAGAAAACTATAATAATGTAAAAAATATATATTCCTGCACAGTTACTGCATTCAGCATTCTACGAAAATGAACGAAGGCATACAACAAATATTTGTTTCTGTACTGTTTGGCCGTAAACTGAGAATTTCTTTGCCAGCCACCATGTTGGAAACAGTCGAGCCAAAAGCAAACAGTTTGGCTCCAGAATGCGGTGGTCACTCACTAACATGCATACACCATCAGGTGCTGTAAGGTACTGAAGCCTCGGCTGCTCAGTTTGACCTCCACATTGTTCCTGGCCTTGGATCAAACGGAGCATGTAGTACCGGCCCATGCAGCGACGCATATGTCGACACACACTCGCTCTGTCTTAGTTGCTTTTGAATACATTTTTCAACGCTCCGGTGATTGCAGTCAGCATCTTCTCACAGCTCTGCAGAAGTGTTAGTGTGCACGCGTGTGTGCGCTGCTTGTGCTGTGTTCCAGCTGGTTGCTGGCTTCGTCCGGGTGACATTTTAATGGCTGCACTCCTGCGAGAGTAGAGCGCTCTTTCTCTCTCTCTCTCTCCCTCTGCCCCGTGCCCCCCTCGTATCTCATTAGACTCTCTCTCCTCCCAGTTGATGCAGTGTGCTGGCATGCGTGTTCGGTGATTAATTCATGTTTGTATGCAATATTTTACTTGTGTCTGTGCTCTGAGTCTATATTTCATGTTTGCCTGGTAGATGTATGTGCATAGGGTTTGCGTGAGTTTATCGACTGTGTATCTGGCGGAGAGTTTTTTATTGCGTGGGCCTACATGTACTGTCCTCCCCAGAGTTTCATGGCGTACATATGGGGCCCAGGGTGATCCCTGGCTGGCCAGATGGCCTGGCTGTCACAGCACCCACTGGGGAAACTGTTGGAGAGTTTTCTCTCTTTTTCTCACTCCCTCCCACATTTTCTCGCTCGCTTCCTTTCCTTTTTTTTCTGAAGCATTCCTACTTGTTTTAAATAAATAATTTTGCATCCTAATCATTCTGGTATCCTTGAACCTAGGTGTTATTCTCAGTGTTTGTATTGTGATTATATATGCCTGACACAGAAGTCATCTTCAACTCTTGAGAAAAGATTAAGCACTCCCATGGAAATCCACACAGCTGTTGTTGCAAACTGCATGACATAGTGGATTATTTTCTATTCACTAAAGTGAAGTTTCAGCCTGCCTTTGATTCAACGTTAGTGAGTCCTATAGATGTAGGAGAAACACAAGGAAGTCGTTTGTGTTTCAGAGGTGCAAAAACAAAAAGACAAGATACTCTCTCCTAATTGATTGCTTCCATAAGTTCATTGCAGTATCTTCAGCTATTTCCATCCTTTTTCTAGTTTACTTGTAGTTTTAAATACACCATTTTGCATTATTATATATTACATTTAGTCGTTTTGGGGGAAAGCTTTGCCATATTTAACACTGTTTGTGCTGCATTCTTCAAAACTCTACAATGGAAGGGTTGAGTAAAATGTTTCCATGCCAAATATTCACAATGGAGTAGTTTTTGATGATAACATTCATCCTTTTTCTTTTTTGATCTGGAGCATTTACTTTTCTTACTTCTCAGTTGTATTGTTCATTATCTGGTACACCTTTTCCCGCCTCTCAGGCCCTGCCAACTTCCCTGCTCTTTCTGTTTGTATTCTGTTTTCCCTGTCACCTCCATCCCCCTTACTCACTGCAGTCATTTCCACCTTTTATCCCCATAAAGGTCTTTTTTTAGGATTCAACCTAATTGGACATTCAATTCTAAAGGGACATTACACTTCAATGTGCGTGAACCTTATCTTATCCTTGCATCTTTTTCTATTCTATTCCATGTATTCTATGCTGATTTATTGACTTTCTCTCTCCAGTTGCTGCACATGGTGGCTGCTGTTTATATTAAGATTCATTACCGGTAGATCTGCTCATTTAAAAGTAGCGTGTGTGTGTGTCTGAACACAAGCAAAGGCATGACAGCCTCTACCAGCCTCTCTCCATCTCTCTAAGCCTCCTCTCTCTGGTCCAGGTGCGGGCGATGCGTCTGTCGTTTGTCGGAGAGCTCGGCTGGGAGCTGCACATACCCAAAGACTCTTGCCTTCCGGTCTACCATGCTGTCATGGCTGCTGGGGCAAAGCACGGCATCATCAACTCAGGCTACAGGGCCATAGACTCACTCAGCATAGAGAAAGGTAACTATTTAAATAAATCACTAACCCCTAAAATAACAGTCCCTTGGTGCCTCTCATCCCTAATGTCTACCTTTTCCCCCTAATAATCAGGCTACAGGCATTGGCACGCAGACCTTCGCCCCGATGACACACCCCTTGAGTCAGGGTTAGGCTTCACCTGCAAAATGAAGAGCTCCATCCCATTCCAGGGCCGTGATAGGCTGGAGAAACAGAAGGAGGAGGGGCTGAGGAGGCGCATCGTCTGCTTCACCATTGATGAGTAAGTAAAGACTGAGATTATATGCTACTAGGAATTAAATTATCTTTACAACAATCGCACATTTGAGCACTGACGTAAAAAAAAAAGTTAAAATAAAGCTTCCTGCAGCCAATTAGACTTCCTCCATAAATAGATTTCTTGACATAAGCCTAAAATAATTTAAAGAATTGTCTTAATTTACTTACTAATACATTTACCAAATGTGCAGTGATACTGATTTTGAAGAAGACCGTGTGTACGGGTATATTGTGTGTCAGGATGGAGATGCAGTTTAATTTAATATTTATAGATTTTCCCTTCTGTGGTTTCTGTTTTAAGACATTTAACACTCTGCAAATTATTTTATTCCATTAGATCTTTGTCCGAAAAACACATTAACCATTCAAAATGTTCCACTTGGTTCAGACGCTAGAATGCAATTACACCAAATCACGGTTCGGTTGATATTAATTTTTAATCTTCAGCTGGAAGTTTACACTCTCGAATGAGTTGTGGGAAGACAAATCTTACAAACGCATGATGGTCAAACAAAAACAAATGTTTTCCCTCTGATCTTGAGGAGATTTTCTGAGATGAAAACATTGCTTTCTTTACGAGAGAGACATTTTATCAAAGTGGGCACATTCTGTTTGGTCCCGACAGATATAATTAGTGTGAATATGCGTATTATAATAGTATTTGTATAAAAGGGATTTTGTGTATGTGTGTGCATGAGCGAGTCAGTGTTGGAATCAGATCAAATTAATTGTGTTTTAAAGAAACATTTCAACATGACAATAAATTAGCTGAGTGTGCAAAATGAATGTGTGTTTGTTTGACTGTTAAATACTCTCCTCCTCTGTCTCTCCCTCAGAAAAGTACCCATGTTTGGTTTGGAAGCAGTTCACCGTAACGGCACTCCTGTTGGTCACCTACGTCGTTCAGACTATGGCTTCTTTATCGACAAAACTATCGGATATGGATATATCCGCAACCCTGATGGAGGAGTGGTAAAGACCTTAAACACACAACACATGAACATATACATAAACATTGCACACACTGTTTACCTATCATCACTTCCTTTTTTGTGTTTTATGCCGTTGTTTTTTGGGCTTATTTAATGTATTTTTGCTTAATTTTCTTCAAAAAACATTATGTCAGTATTGTGAGATAATCCCATTTGAACACAATTCTAGGTTTTGAGTAGAAGTGTGCATAGGAATCCTGACAACAGAACTGATTTATGTCAAGCATTAAGAAACAAATTCTAGAAATCCTTTTTTTAAGATTGAGGACTGATTCTTTTATCAATAATAGCCTGAGACTGAATCATAAGTGTTATCGGCCAGCATACAGGTTTTTTTTGTGTGTTTCTCTCGTTAATAATACAGACGCATACAAAATAACAGCAGCAAGAGAGAAACACAAAGTTATTGGTGGAAGTGGTGTGCTCCAAGGCAAAGCACCTATTTTAGTTCATTAAACAGAACAATCCTTAGTTTTTTTGGCTTTATATAGATCCGTATCTACGATTCTGTGCTCATGGACGCACAACGTTAGACACACACTGCGTTGCGAGCACATCTGTGTGATCGAATGTGTGCCCTTGTGTGTGCTCATTTGGTTAATATCCATCCTTGAGTCGTGACCAGCAGTACAAAACAAAGCGGAATGACTCCTGGCTTTGACGAGCACTACAGTTTGGAGATGCACTCACTCGAATGCTTCACACACACTCACACTCACACTCACACTCACACACACACACACACACACACACACAGAGAGAGAGAGAGAGAGAGAGAGAGAGAGAGCACGCAAGAGAGAGAGAGAAACAAAAGGAGACACACACACACACACACACACACACACACACACACAGGTCTGAGCGATCTAGTGTCCTGTCACTCAGGATTACAGAGCACATCCCCTTCAATCACATCACTGACTTCAACAGAAGTAACTTTGTAAGAGTCTTCTTTCATTAAACAGACCCATGTATAGAGAACAATATAAATGTCTGCTCTCCACGGTACGCTTGATCGCTCTCTTCTCTCTTTCCTTGCTTCCTACCGTATTCTTTTTTTTTTTTTAATTCACTGTTTCACTGCTTTGTGGTATTAAGGCAGTGGGTACACCATTAAAATGTATCAAACTATTTCACTGGCTGTCAGACTGAGTTCTGTACATGCATCAGTGGTTTGACAAGTGAATGTACTCCTTGAAAACGAAGCAGTTATACTTCTATGCCTGTTTGCAGAATGCCATCAAATAATGCCTAGCAAGATGGAGTATGAAGTTAATTCATTTAAGTTACAGCCCAAAAGCAGTTTAACGTCTTTAAAGAGGCCCTATTATGCTTTTGGGAGGTTTCCATTTCCTCTAGCGTGTTGTATAGGTTTTTTGTGCATGTCAATGGTCTGCCCCCCCCCTGCCTGAAACGCCTCGATTGGACTCCTTTGTTTAATTCCAAAATACAATGACATCACTATGTAACACGTGCGTTTCAATTGGCTAGAGCTCCAACAAACTGTACGTGATTAAGTTGTGGGACATCTCTAAGCGGTTGACAAATCCCAACAGAGCCGGCCAGCTAACCAATCAGAGCTGAGGGTGAAAAGAGATGCTGCAGCACACATTAAAGTATGAAAACACGTCACAGTAGAGACACAAAATAGAAATATGAACCTAAAGATTAGCACAATAGGGACCCTTTAATTGTTTTCGTTTTTTATTTGAGCGCTCAAACGTGGCAGAAATAATATTTGTAAATCCTTCTGTGTTAATGTATTCATTATGATACTGTTCTGAAAATGCCAGTGGGAATTGCATTATCCTTAACAACTTGGACTGGGCTTTGCAAATTACAGTAGAAGACTCTGACCTGCAAGTTTTCATATACATGTCTGCAACAGGTGCTTTGAATAATTTGGACCCGCACACTGTTATTTCATTGTGTGGTAATAGGAGCACCTGGCTAGAGCTTTGGATTTAAATATACTGTGGAGTCACTTTAGAAACCTGGGGGCATTCATCTTAATAGAATACAGTGAGGCTGAAAGTGCTGCATGGTTGCTTTTAAGAATCATGGTCTAAATGCAGCCAAATTCAGGTAAATAATGGATCTGGCAAGTTTGTGTAACACTTCACCATTCCAAGTGAGACAAGGGCATCAACGCCATTCCTGGAACATGGAAGTAGTTGAAATTAAATGGTGATGAGAGAGAGAGAGGCCTCTTTTATGTGTGTGTGCAGCGGCAGGGAGGGAGAAGGGAGTCAGTCTGTGAAAATGTGCTCTTACTGTGGGTTACGAGGATCTGACATTGACTCATGAGTGACTGGATTGCTTTCAGCGTTTTATAACTCCAGCGCCGTTCTCTTCTGTCAGATACGACTGCTGTGAAATTGTCTGCTCTGGAGTTCTCCGTCAGCTGGGAGAAGTCCATTTTGTTTTTTGCAAAGAGCGTGGATTAATTGGTCGTCTCATTTCCTCTCTGTTTTAATCTCCGTCATCCTCCTCATCTATATAAAATGTAAATTCCCTCCCCACCTCATATTTCCATGCTCTGATCTCTCTCTTCCTTTCTTTATCAGGTGAGTGCCGATTTCATAAAGAGCGGCGAGTTTACCCTGGAGAAGATGGGAGTGACGTACAAGGCCAAGGCCCATCTTAAATCTCCATTTGACCCTCAGAACAAACGCGTCAAGGGCATCTATGATTGAGAAGGACCACACATGTGAAAACTGAAGAAAACACACTGGTTGGAGAAGTGCAGTTTACAAATATTATGCATTATAGCTTAGATTAAATGTGATAGGAAATAACTGGTGGGGATAAAATAAACTTTTTTAGGTCTAAAATGTAAATCAAAATACAAAAGAGGTGCTAATTTAGTTATTCTTGTACAAATGTTGATTGTTAAGCTTTACATTTTAAGCCTGCTCTGGGTTTAAGAGTAACACTTGTGAATGCTCTCATGTGAGAAATATTACTATGAAGACAAACTATTGAGGTGAACTAAAGTGTCTTTGCTCTAGTAATCAAAGATGTTTTTCCAGTACACCTGGATAAGTCCCTCGCGTGATCCTGCTATCTTTGAATAAGCCTGAGCTTTTTTCTGGATCGCTTTTTAATTACTAAAATAACCTCACGTGATTAGGTCGTTTTTAAAAATAGAAACTAAACTGAACAATATTTGCTCTTTTCAAACTATCAGAAGTACGTTTTTAAGCCTTAACACTAGATAACTCAGGGAATCTATTTACATAGTTAATACTGTGAATTCTCTATTGGCAGCACAAGCTTTGTGTACTGGTGCTAAAAAGTAAATAACTTTAAATATTTAGGCATGTATAACTGTCAAGCTTTTCCCTTTTTTAAAATGCTATATATTAGATATTAAAATAAAGAATTTCATTTATCCTATGAGGCCATATTGGGGAATCAAAGTGTTTCCAAACCATTCACAAGCCCTTCTGGCAGTTTGAGTCAGATTACAGTGACTGATGCTGTTGTTGACAACAGTGACTAAAACTGATTTTCACTCTGTAGTATGGTATCTAAATCTTAGGCAGACAAGAGTGTTTATCAACAAAAAAAACCCTGAGGCATAGTTTATCCAGCCAGGGAGGAAACACTGCTGTAGAAAAGAATACTGGATAAAGACAAGTTATCAGAAAGCAGCTCTTACAGATAGAGCCTTTGATTTCTGAGCCACCCCCTCCCCCCTCTCCGTCATTGCTGTCCTCTTCTGCTCTATACTGCCGTCGCTGCTGATTGCAAACTCAATTCTCTTAAGTTTGTTTCATACCAAATGCCATTGTCATTTAAAAAGAGTTATCTTCCAATCCAGGCGCTTATTTGCTGTTGTTCTGCTGCTAAATCAAACTCAACCATTTGTACATCTGCATAAGGCGACAGCACATTTACCATCGCCTTGGCCTTTTAACATTTCAAAATGTGATCTTGGTACAATGGACTAGTGAGTTTGACAGGACTGTTTTGTAGATTTCTTGTAATTAAAATGTACATTTTGCTAATACAACTAGCTTCATCTGTCATCTCACTCAGTCATTTAGTGTATGCCACATGTATACACTGTGTGTACTGTATAGATATACACTGCTAACTAATCAGCTATTATTTTATTTGTCGCCATTTCATGGTTGTTGTAAGGAAAAGTCTTCAAAGTAAAACTGACAGAAAAAGAGAAATCACCAGTCAATCTCTTTGATGGCATAATCATGTCTTAAATGCAAGTATGTGCAGTAATTCAAGATACTAATTCTGCTAGTTATGTCTTAAGTCTAACAACAAAAAGATTTTACATTCAACACCTGTGCTTGTTTCCCCTTTCACTAACAGTTCAGGCCAAACAAGAAACACATAGTGTGAACAGCACATTAATAATTGTGTGAAAGCAGGAAGTCCTCTGTGTGTACAGTATGGCTACTACTCGCCTCTCCAATGTGTGTTGCTGCACGTTCAGCACAAAATGTTTACTAATGTGGAATGATTCATTGATTTCGCCCAGAAGGCCATTAATCATTGAAATGGTTGTTCTGTGCAGCGGCTTAGGTTAATAACAAGATTTATTTGGGAAATGTTAAACAGACTGACAGAAACTATCACTACTGGTCCTCTACACAATATGTCAACAGGTATTTGTTCCTAATTCAGTTTATAGAATGTCTCTCTCCATGATGTGAATACTACAAAAGTACTGATGATAGAAAGCAGGTGATTCTTATACTGTATGCAACATGTCTTAAGTGAATTGTTAACCAGTTAAATTAACATTAATGACCAGTAAACGTGAAATGATTGTTAAACCACTTATTTAATCTGTCCAAAGCAATTTGTGTATTAATAAATCCCTTTTTATCTGCCAACATTTTTGTGACATTTATTATTCAACACACAAAAACAAAGCAAATACACACAGGACACAAAAGAGTGGGAGAAATACAATGCTGAACTGAAGAAGTGGTTAAAAGAACAAGTTATTTACTTTTGAATAATGTTACACTTTTGTCCCAAGCACTAATTAATGAGTCACATTTTTGTGTTACATGACCATTTCCATTTCCATGTCAAGTGCTAAAACATTACATAGGAATCATCATTGGGAATACTCATAACATATATTATAGATATTATACAATAACAGCGAGTAGAGAACATAATTCATCCAAAACGATCAATTCTGCTCAAAGGAGCTTCTTTAACTTTCTCCAGGTTAGCAGCCCTCTTGTGGGCTGAAGCAGGCCGTGGTGACCCCCTCGCTCAGACTTGGGGTGTGGGGGGTTTGCTGGTGGGGGGCGCCCCTCCCTCACAGGGGTAGCGAGGCTTATCCAGGATGGAGGTGACCACTGGTACAGGCTTCTTGTCCCACTCCCCCTGGAGAAACAGATATATGATGTTGGTCACATTTGATCGTTGTTTGGGGGGGGGGGGGGGAAGAAAGTGTTTTGTCCTTGATATTTTGCAGGTTTTATTATGTGACAGTTTTTACTGTACAGTTCATCAAACCTGCCCAAAAAAAGTATTTGTGGTTTCTAGTGAACTTTCTTTTACGGCACATAGTTGTTCAACTTATTACAGAGTCAAGTCCAGTTCCCCCCATAAACAGTGTTTGTGTGTGTAGTTTTTTATTTCAGTTCTGTGTTTTGTCAATTCCTTCCTTTTGCAGTGCTTATCTTTGCCTACAGCTACATTTAGTTTTCAGCATTTATTAAGAAATCTAAATTATTGCTTTGTTAGACAATGATTTATGTCACTCTTTAGTGCTTGTTTTTAATTTAATGTATGTGATTAATAGCTGTACTCCAGGTTGATTTTATTGTTATTTAGATCACCTGTTGCGCAGGGGTTGGCTCATACTGAATAATTTAGAGAAGTTTGGTGCATTTACAACACAACGCCCCTTGTATTAGGGCTTGAGAGAGGTGGGTACACCCAGCACTATTGATCTTTTACCAACTTATCCTAATTTTAGCAGATTTTGTCACCTAGATGCTCTGATCTTTAGGTGTTATTGAGACTTCTTTGCCGTCTTAACTTTTCTGACTGACGGTGATTTAGAGCATTCTGAAATGCCAGTCACTTGTGTAGAACAGGTTTCAGGCCGTGACTTTCGATTGTGCATTTCAGCTTTCAGTTGTCTCTGTTGAACTTCACAAGTTTAATTAAACTCTTCTTTTGAACAAACTCCAAACAGTGGGTGTTCATCATTCATTTCTAAGCTTTCCCCTGCGTTATATTAAGAATCGACACCACAATGACGTTAACACTGAGAGTCGACTGTAACCTTGGCTGCTAAATTACTTTTAGAATATTTCACGCTTGACGGCCTCACCAAAAATATATTGTTAACAGTCTCTCAATTGCCTTCCAGTGGTGGCATTGATAATGAAACACATGCCAGTTTTGTCGTAATTAAATACACCATAATAAATATTCTTGCAGCTTTGTAAAAACATCAAGCCATATGCTATCTTTCAAGAACATGAGCCTAATGTTTCAAATGAGGTTTTTGATATTTTTTCTCCCAGACACTGGACCTGATGATAGAAATCAAGGAGGACGTTTTTTGCTCTTACATAAAACCTTGATCAAGGCCTCTAACCATGTTTGATCTCGGATTTATTTATTCACTCTGATCCAAACATACTGTGTGTGTGTCTGTGTTTTTGTTATAGGTTAACAAGCGGTCCGTTCAGCCGATCTGACTATCCTGTCCGACTGATGCCTGCCTTCTGATCTGGATAATTGGCGGCTTGGCAGTCGATTGCAGTGTGTGTGTTAGTGTGTTGTCTGGGACTTACAGGAAAGAGGCGTGCACTCGACTGGTTGCAGTGCATGGAGATGGGGGCTGTGTTATAAAGGGAGTCCAGCACTTCTCCACTGAATGCGTCCCACTGTAGTTTAGAATACTGCTCCGTCACGTCCACATCACACACGCAATGGTCATCTCCGTGGAACCTAGAGTGAGGGCAGGATGGAGGGAAGAGAGAGGTTGAAGGAAAGTTGATAAAGAGGAAGGCAGGGAGATTGAGAAAGGAGGAAGAGATTGAAAAAACACAGTTTCACTTTAAAGGACAAAACATCAGTTTTGTTTACGATTAAAAGGAGTAATCACAACTCTGGTTCCCGGGAGCGAAGGACAAGAGTGACTGTTGATGCCAAGAATTGCTTAGTCATACAAGAGATGAAGGGGAAGATGTAAAATTAATGAAGGACGAGGTGCGCACGCAAGTGATTTCCGAGAGAGATAGATGAGTTTGTGCTAGTGTTACCTGTTAATGAAGTTAAAGTATTTCTGCAGGTATCCTGAGTCAACGTGGCTTTTGCAGAGCTCCAGCTTAGTTCGAGGGTAGTAGTGAACGTAGTTAACACACATTTCATCCATGATGCCAAAACCTCCCTGAGGATACAAAGAGATTTAGATGAAGATGGAGGAATGTGCAGTATAAAGAGTAGATGTAGGTATTAAGGGGGGAGATATGGAAGGATTAAGAGAATAAAGGAAATGTGTTGGGGAAAGAGAGATTAGAGAAGGCAATACTCAAGATTATTCCTTATGCTGTCGCCCAAGGTGAATTTAAGCAATATAAAAATAGTGTGCCGCTCACCAATGTAGGCTTGCTCCTATCTTCTGTGTTATAAGTACACTTAGTTATGAGGACATCACCCTGCAGGATTAAGCAGAAACACAACGCCATGTTCACCATATTTCATTTTTAACAAAGCGCAATTGGACAGTTTAAGGTTATTGACAAAAATGTCAGATCCAGTGGCCAGTATTTGTTTTTTGTTGTGCTATGTGGAGCTCAGCTGCTGTGTTTTTGTCTCCAGAGAACTTCCTATCACATCACACATTATTACAGCCTGTCCATACAGTATTTTCACTCCATTTAACCTGTTAAACCCCATGGCCCAGCGGGTGGGGGCAAAACGCAACATCTTGCAAGAAACAGCGTCTGAGGGCTTCTTAACATTTAATCAACTATGAATGTGTCATACTCGCTTAACGGGAAGAAACTCAGCTCAGACAATACTAACCATGTTTAGCTAAACGAAACAAAAGGGTAATAACAAAGGCTCTGAATTAGCCTTGAGACAAAAAATGCTAACGCAATTAGCACAGAACTAAATGTAAAATACCCTTATTACTCATCAAATCTGCACAAACAAGATATCGATTAGCAAACTGAGATTTCACAGATTCCAGACATATAATTATCATCAGTGAGTGATCTGAACTAGCGACAGGGGAAACAAAAACAGACATCACACCACGTAGCATTACGGAGCAAACACGGGAGAAATTCTTACCTATGCTGTTGTTCGGATCAAAAGTTGTGTTCAATGGCATTAAAACGATAAAAACGCTGCTGAAGGTTAATCCATAGGTTAATCCAATGGTTCTGTGTCACTTTGAAATGGTACTGATAATCCATCTTCATATTTAGGTCAATAACGGAGATTTCATATTTAGCTGCTACGAGAGTGTATGACAGCTTCCGGTTTTGGGCATTCTGGCTACGCATCACTCATTCACCAATGGGTAATGTTTAGATGGATTCTAGGAACTTCCCCTCGATTCTATTGGCTCTAACGGTTCAAAAGAGATGTCAATCCTCAAAATCGATCAAGGGGGGCCATAGATATGGAAAATGCACCCAAATGACCCCAGAAGTGTTTGTTTTTTTCAAAATCTCTCTAAAAAGGTCAAGTGTCACTTGTTTTGCATCAATCTTGATACAGGGTACTTATTATATGTTATAGTTTGGATTCCTATAGCTTTTAGTCTACTACCCCATCATTCAAGGATGGTTTTCACTATAAGTAATGTTTTTTTGTTTGGACAGACTATAATTTACACTTTTGTTACTATGTTCAATCTGAATTTACTTTAAAATAAAAAAATTCTATATTGATTCTGACTTTTCTACATCCAACTCAAAGGTTTATCATTGCTTTGAGAAACAATATTATTAATTTACCCCTTTTAGAAGTGAAGTTATAGTTAATTGTTCTGGGAATGTCATTTTCGAGCCTGAGGCCTGAAAAATAGGCTTGCGGTTCAAGCGTGGTACTCTAATTCAGAACTTCAGGAAAAATACACCTGGGGCTTGACCGTTTAGCCTTCATTCACCATTTACTGTGAAACATTAAATAATCTAATCTTCTCTGAAAACAAATTCTGCACAGAGAAAAACTAAAATAGGCAATGCTTTATTAAATTGCAAGCGTAGTGATCAACATGTATACTTACAGGTAAAACATTTGTCATTTTCCTCAGAACTCGGATTGTCTAAAGGCGAGAAGAACAAAAGAAAATTAAGTAATTAAAGGGAAAATCCACCAAACATTTAATTGTGTACATATCTTTTTACACCACATTTCCCTCTCCATCATCTTGAGTTTGGACATAATCGTAATTTATTTAAAATATGGAAAGATAATGTATTGATTTTGAGGATTTTCTTGGAGGCAGCTTTCATAGTTATTAGCTGTGTTGTATGTGTTTCTATAAGATTTTCAGAAAGCGGCTTGTTTATATGTCTATAATGATGATGCAGGGTTTGAAACAACACTTCCACACAGGTACAGTACACAGATTAGTCAGACATCAACAGCAGCTGGAGATTTTATCTGGCAGTCTAGCAGATGTCCTTCTCTGCCCTCAGTGTGTGTGTGTACCTGCCCCAGGATATTTAAAAAAAAAAAAAACACAACAGATGTCGTCTGCTCTCTCCCAACAATGTTGATGTTGTTGTTTGTCAGTTTTGATGTTGTTTTGACAATCAGGAAGTTATTTTATTCTGCTTTGAATGGAATTATTTACTGCTATACCTAATGAGGCTAAATCCAGGTCAGAACAATTGTGACTGATAAGAAATAGATTATAACTTTCTGTAGAAACACTGCTTTCATTAAAAAGTAATCAGTTATCTGCCACCTATTAACACCTGTTTGATTAAATACTAAAACACTTTCTATGATAAGTAATTCCATTAGTTAGCAGTATTTTAAAGAAATGTTTTAATAAATCATTTGAAACTCCTCGTTTGCAGCAAGTACACAAAAGACCATCAAGCATTAGCTTATCATTTTCAGCTAGTTATAAAACATGCAAAATCAAAGACCCTTTTTGAGCCTTTATTGTAATGAGGTGGCAGCTTATTATTTTAAAAGGTGCAGTAGAAGCAGAGGATAATCTGTGGCATGTGGCTCAGTGAGATATGAAGTGCTACTACCTTCTTTCAAATCTAATGAAGTATAAGATACACCGCACAAAGAAAGTTCTGTGCACAGATTTCCTCTGGGTAAACTGAGCCCCGCTGTGTCTCACCTGGTAGTGTGTACTGAAGTGCTTGTCCTCCTGGACCACCTCCAGCTCTTTGCCTGCCCTCACCAAAACAGTCCTTACCCCCCGCCCTGCCAGGTGGGTGTGCAGCTGGGATGCAAATATATAGATTCCTCCTGAAGGCAAAGCCTAGATATACAAACAGACAGACGGAGAAACTTTCAAGGTCAAGTTCCAACTGAGATTTCTGTGCTTAAGGGACCAAAACTTGAACAAAAATATGTGGCATCCTAGATGAAATATTTATCCATAATTCTTATTTGAACGTTAAATAATGCAGTGAATATGGGGGAAATGTATACATACAGTCTGGGTACACTCGGAGGTGCAATATCCACTGAGGTAGAAGTTGTTTTGTTTAGGTGGGACAGCCATGATGGGAGTATAAACAAGACCCAGCTCCATGATCCCTGCATCGTACCGCCTCAGACTCGGGGTGTAATGCAAGCGTATCCCTGAAGAGTCACGACGGCCTGCGAGAAACAAAATCATGCAATATTTAAATATGTATCAAAGTCAGTTTACTAGTAGGTTAAGGGTATGTTCGGAACAATTACAAGGAAGTGTGCATAGAAGAATAAGAGTAAGTGCAGTGTTGCAGAATGTGGTAAAATGTGTGAGTCTAAGTGTGTACTTTATATACCAGATATAATGAGAGGGTTGTGGTAATGGACCTCCAGACGAAGGAACCTTGAGGAACTTGGTCCACCCAGAGGCATCCCTGCATCAGGAGGATAGTAAAAAGCCTGCAAAACACACACACACACAATTTTTGACTGTGAAAAAACTATAATCTGCTAATTTCCCCAACTGAAAAACAGATTTAAATGTTGTATTTTCTGAGGAAGGAGCTAAAATTCATTAATGTTTCCATCCTTGCTCATTCTGTTTAAGACTGACAATGTCAGAGGATGACAAAATGAAATCATCCAGATGTAAAACTACTTTTCAACCATGTGCCAAGAAAAGGTCGAAACACAAAACTGGTTATTTGACGGTTGTATCTCAAACTTCCAGACTTACTTCCATTCTGAAAATGTAATTACAGGATTATCCATCCGCCTCAATTATTTGCATATTAATTACTCGCCCAATGTTCTCCTTCAAAATGTGATTCCATCTTGGTAATCACTACTATATTAATCTTATTGATTTTTCTTGCCCACTCTGCAGAGATAATAGATTGTCTCTCTAGCTCTACTAATGTGGTACTGATAGTCTTCCTTTTCTTCTGGGGTCCCTCAGGGCTCACACCTGGGCCCCCTTATCTTTCAGGTCATCATCATTCACTCCACAGTTCACTTCACAGTTACGCAGATGACACTCAACTAATTGTGTCCCTGGTCTTGGACAATTGAGACCAATGCACCAACACTTGTCCTAGCAAATGTTCTTTCATATTTCTTGCTGTTTGAGTTTGTATATAAATGTTTTTGCACTTATTGTAAGTCACTTTGTAAGTAATCTAATGTAATGGTTCATTCCAATGTTGGAAAGTTGCCACTAAAACATGCCTTGGCACAAACTTACATAATCAAATATTTTCTTTGCATCAAATGTATTCCTTGACAAGGACTTTCAAATGTCTTCAAGGCCTTTTGGAAATGTATGAGCTGGCTAAAACAATGCTTATTGATTATTTCTACACATCGAAAGGTTGTCTTCTCATATGGATGCACACTTTGAGGCACTGGTTGAACGTGTGATGTATTTCTTTCTTTCTTTTATGCTCGTTGGATTCTGAGATATTTTGCTTAGCATTGGCAAAAAACTAATTTTCACTCACTTCTGGCCCCATGGGCGTCAAACCTCCTCGCTTTTATCGAGGAAACTTGATTTAATCTTCATTCATCATCGGTCTTTTAATTTTTCAGACCACTTGAAGACTCTGCTGATACACACAGTTTGTAACGGAAGAGAGAATTGTTTTATTTAATCTTGTTAAAGTTGTAACAGTAAAATCCTTGGAGACTTGCTTTCTCCACTACAAACACACCACTTTTTCTCTGCCATTTATTTTCACTTCACATTCTGGCAGTGTAGTTCCTTACTGTTTCTCTCCCTTTTCAAACTTCCCTCCCTCTATTTTCCTGCTTTCTCTCTTGCATTGTTTTCGCAGGGCCACGTTTTCCTTCCGATGCAGTCCCGGGGAGAATGAGACAACACTATTAGGAGGTGATGAAAGAGGCCTGAATATTTCTCACCTAATCTTGTCTTCACAGCTCAAAGCCCACAGAAGGCATCCTGCTTGTTTTTGTTTGGCTGGCAGATAATCCAATCAGAGAGGGGCCAGGCTGGCTGTGATACAGTGGGGAGCGGAGCAAAGAAATATGGTGACAGGCTCGCCGTTCCCTGTCCTCTTTGCTTTATGTGACCAGCCGGCTGCCTGCCTGCTTGGTCAGCCGGCTGGTTGTTAGCTGTGGTACACAAGTGGACTGAATTAATGTCTGATAGAGGACCAACTAGCCGCCTGAAGACACAGGCGCCATTTTCTCTCCCTACTATTTCAATCAACAGTTTTCCCTAAAAAAAAGAACTGCAATGTGTGTGTTTCTTATAGAATAAAAATTCAAGGAAAAAAACAACTGTGATTTTTTACTACATTTTAGCAGGCTGACTCATAGGCTAGGTGACTGTCGGGGCTGTAGCCATGATGTTGGATATACTCGTAATTTTGCCCCCTTGGGGACAGAAAAATAAGCTGTCACTTCACACTGACCTAAAAAGCGCTCACAGAAACTTTATAGACTAAGGTTAGCATTGGTTTTACAATTATAGAATGCAATTGTCCCTGTCATTACCAGAAAAACTATCTTGCACACAATCTTAGTTTCCTCAGTAGTGTTCAGTTATTCAAGAATATCAGCCCATGATAAGCACTTGTTTTTAGGCTACAACTGTAAACATTCATGTGGTTTTCATTCTTTGACTTTGTGTCAAGTGTCGACAAGTTTGTGATTATTTGTATCATGTGAGCGTGCTTCCCACATACAGACTGTTTCCCAGCTCTTAATAGACGTGTGCTGTGTGTGGGATCCTCTTTACAAGGTTTTTTGCTCAAAGTGGTAGGCTTGGATATTACTTGCGTAGGAGTATTTGTTTATCTCTCATAATAGGAATGAGGACACGACCAAAATCAAGATTTATTCCAACTTTTTTCAATTAGACACACTATTATGTGTAAAATGTGTCAATGTATATGTGTTTCTGCTTTATCTAAAACATTATTTGACTTTGACTTGTAAGTGTTGTGAATATGTTTGTAGCACTGTTGTTTTAAGAGTATAAGGAGTAAATGTAGTCAGTGGAAGGTGCCAATGAGGACTGATGTAAGAAGATGTGTGTGGGTGTCTGTTTCCCATCATACCTCAGCACCCATAGCCCATGCAGCGAGCACATGGCGGCAGAAATCGAGCTTGTTCGGCTTCATCTTGTCATCGCAGGAGCCGCTGTACTCTGGAACGTCGCCTTTATCTGCAGAACATTCGAACACTTCCATGTGGTGCACGATGGCCTCGTTACCTGGAGTTATCACTGACTCATACTGACAGCAACAGAGAGACAAGTGGAAAAAAGAAAACAAGTCATGTTGTTTTATGTGTTTCTACTTCTAAAAGCTTTTACCTTGGACAGGTACATCAAAAATGAAAACTCTGAAATAATTGTATGCAACATAATGTGTGAAAGCTTCCATATCTTGTAATTCAAAGGCATTCATACCATAACAATGTGATTTTTGGGCATATTTTCAGGCAGCTTCTGTATGTAGCACCAGTAGGTGGTCTCCTGATGTGGGATGATGACGTTTGGCGACAAGACATCCAGCGTCCGTACATCTGGAGGCAGGATGGGTGGCAGCGTGTCGGGGCGCAGCATCAGCACAGTCTGCATCCCCGTGTGGATCCGGGACAGGTTCAGCTGCTCCAGAGAGGCAAGTGGTTCTTCCAAAAATCCATAGATGACGTGCACGGTTCCCTCCTGACAAATCCCACCCAAAAAACAGACTATGTTTAGTTGATACTAAGCAGAAAACCAACATCAGTAAATGAATAATCTTGTGTGGTTATTCATTGGTTGAATTTTCCTATGAAGGCAAAAAGAGAACTTCTTTCATTTTGTTGTCATGGTAATGACCATTAGTTTTGTGTCTGCAACTTGGAGGTTTTATGCGGCACCATGGAAACCATAATCAGTATATTAAATTTGAAGTGAAACAGCAATGAAATGCACACAAACACATTAATAAACTTTCACATACAGGGTAAATGTTCTGTGCTCAAATGCCCTCTTTACCGCCTTCAGTACTCTCTCTTCCTCGCCACCTGCTAACTGTCAGGTTCCCTCAGTTCAGGACTGACTGACTAAATCAATAAGTGTGCTCGCTCTTTACATGACCTCTTGGAGAATCGACAAGTGACATAAATGTAGAGGAGAGGATCATCTTGTAAATCAGTCAAATATTTATCCAGCTCAAGGTTTCCTACAGGTTTCAAAAGGTGACAATGGGAGACTATGGACAGCAGAGCACTGCATTGGAGCATGTATTCTACTGTACTCAAGTACAATTTTAAGCACTTAAAGTTATTTACCTGAAAAAGCTCTTCCATCACAAGCTTCCAACACATTAACACATCAATAATATAATGTAAATGTTTCTGAAAAAGGAATCTTGTGCAGAAAGAGTACTTTTAGTATATTTTGATGCTAATACTTGTGTACTTTTACTCAAGTACATTTTGAAATGCAGGGCTTTTTCTTAAAAAAGAGGATTTCTACAATGTATAACCAAGATCTAAGTACTTTATACACCTCTGTAAGGAAGTCAGTAAGGTTAAGAAAACAAGAGCTTTATGCTTTTGTTTGTACAGGATTACATAGGATTACCCTTACATTTGAATAAACACACACACACACAAACACACACACACACACACACACACACACACACACACACACACACACACACACACACACACAGTCGAAAGTCTTCACACACCTCTATGAGGTAGTCTCTGGGATCACAGGTGCTGAACGGTCTTTTGAAGAGCAGGTGGAATCCGTCAGGTTTGTGTTTGGCATCCAACAACTCGTAGTCTTGTTGGCTATCCAATGAAACGTGGCCCTCACTGTCACTCCACGCATCCTGAGGGACACATGTTGACTTTAAAAAAAATCTAACCTGCTCAAATTATTTAAAAGCACATTGTTATGAGCCAATCACATTTAGTCCAGATTTAAATTCTATTAGACTTTTGACAACCCTTCTTTACCTGAGAGTTTCAACAGTTGAACAGCTCATTTCAAAAGGAGGGGATCAGGTTTCGCAATAAGAAACTCATTATTCATCCATTACCTTAAGACATGTTGTCAAATCAAGCAGAGAAATAATAAAGTGGCTGTTCTTTGTTAATTTTCAGATTGACACAAACCTACACGATTTTCTCAAAGAAATCAGTGTACCTTCCCCACCTGGTGTTCAATATTCCTGTTCTCTGCCAGGAGGTTTTTCAACAGCTCCGTCTATCCGCTCCTGCTATGTTTCTCACATTCATATCTGTCCAGAATAACACCTAAGATCTCGGTATTTCTGTCTCCCTCTCTGAACATCTTATATAACCACTCAAAACAAACGGCAACATATTTTTATACATGATTCTAAAAAGAAAGAAGTGGGCAGTATACAGTATGTGAGTTGCAAGTCTGTGTAGAGAATTTCTAAGACTTGGAATTGTTAACTTTGTGTATAAAGGTTATCTTTTGTTATGTTTAAGTTAATGGCAGTTGGTTCCACTTTGTGTAACCATTTTTGGTCACTTTGGCCTTTAAAATCCTTACAATATGATTCAATTGTTTTGCCAATATCAAAGTTAGTTTATTAAGGTAATGGTATAATTACAGTTGATCTATATTGTAGTATTAGCAATGTGGAACGTGTTGCCATAAAAGACTGCTTATGGATTTGTGAGACAAAAGTCTCAGCCATCCCTTCTGAAGTTGAACTGAGAGCAGTGTATAGAGTCCTGCTCGCCTCAGATCTAATCTCAGCAGAGAATCACAATATGGTGTATGTCTGCACAGAAAAATCAATAAAAAGGAGTCAACTGCCCATTTTCTGTAAAAAAAAACAAAAAAAAACAGCATAGATAGTGGTAATGTTGGTTTTGGGTGTTATGGTTTATTATTCAAAAGAATGGTGTTGGTCTAAGAAAGTAGAAGAAGAAATCTGTGACCTTTCACTCCTTTTTCATTTTTAAAACCATCAAAACTTTACATTAACATTCCTCAGTTCATATTACATTTATATAAAATGAGATTAGTTCTAGATTCAAGTCCCTTTCTGCTGATTACTTCGATCGAGGAACAATTTTTTATAAAAGTTTAAAATGTCCTTATTTCTCGGCATTGACGAAAGGAACTATTTAGCTCTGCACACATTGCTTTTAGTTGTGAGGGCTTGCTCAGCAAGACATATGGACAAAAAGAGAATGAGATGTAAGAGACATTTTATACTTTAGCCTTCATTTAAGAGGGAAAAGGTGTACTTCAGAAGCTGTCCCTGCACTTTATCTCATGTATGACCTGATAACTAACCTGCTATTCATGGTGAAATCACAAACCCTACATAGCAAACAACTGAAGTCTTTGTTTGCTGACAGATCCCCATTTGGCAAATACTTTAACAAACAGGTAGTTTTGTCCACACAGGATCCTCAAAGGTTGAACCGACCAGATGTTAGTCCTACTACCTACAGTATGTTAATAATATAATACAAATGATAAATTAGTCAGAAAAGTTTTTTTCCAAGGAACAATCAGAACTGCTGCTCAAAAATGTATCTGCAATTTGTATTCACCCTGCTAACTTTTATTCATATTTCCACATAACCCTTGTGGACAAAATGTAATTTTAAAAAAGATGAATTGGAATTTTACAGCAACATAAGTTCTAAATTGATTAATTTATCAGGGAATTTCATTTGTTAAGGAGGCTTGTGTTTGGCAAATATAAAAATGAGACATTTTACACATCTTAATCAGCACAGGATTCAATTTTGATATGCTAATACCTGCTAATGGTTCCCCAGTGAGCTTCAGCTATTAGTGACGTTTGAGTGATTTCCAATTAGCTAGGGCCGATAGCATCCTTTGTGACTCTGTGATCATGAAGCAAGCAGTCCGCCGGCTCCTCGTGCAAAAAACACCAATCTCACGCCCCGGGGACCGCAGACAGATGAGGGAAACCTCCTTTCCTCAAGGACTTCATGTAATCCATGTGCATTGATGAATTTGACACAGAGAGGAAAATGGAAAGGGAGACTGAGAAAGACTGTACAAATATCTGATTCAACACCTCCTATTAGAAACCTGCTGGATTTCCACACCTTTTAGGAGACGAGCCTTGTGTCATTCTAATGTGTTGTAGCTATAACGACAGCTAAAGACACATCATTTTAGCAACCCCCCACATTAAATGTTCTTTTAGTCTTTATTATTTACCTACCTTTATATTTTTTACCTACCTTTATATTTTAAATATATATATATTATTTATTTGATTTATTGTATAGCTCTATTTGTATTTCTGTTGTACCTATATGTTCACTTTGTGTTATGGGGTTTTATATTTTATATTGTTGCATCGATTCAGTTGTCTTGTGTCTTATCTGTCAGAGAGAAACCATTATTTATTTTATTTTATTTGTATTATCATACATTTCACCTCCTTGTATCTATTAACCTGATAACATGTTATATTTTGCTGCATGTACCTTTTAAAGTTCTTAACAAATAATCAGGGGGAATTCTTGTTGTTTGTTTTTAACTTTACAAAGTTAACTTTAACTGTTATGTCATGTTGTAAAGCACTTTGAGCTGCATGTGTTGTATGAAAAGTGCTATGTAAATAAAGCTTCATTATTATTATTATTTTTATTATTATAATTCCCTAAATTATTTGAAATTTGTTGGACAGATTATATAGATAATACACATTCCGGTTTACCCCAAAGTAGCTGTTAGTTCCAGAGTCCCACAACACCACCAGGTCAGCGTTGGTCAGCTCCCCGCGGTCCGACATCCCAAAGACCACGCCGTGTTTGATGTCTGCAACCGTCAGCTGAATGTAAACCTCCTGGTTGGCGTAGCTGATGTTCCAGGAGAGCAGGACATCCCCGCGGGGGTCAAGGCTCATACGGAAGGGCATGGGGAGCGGTGGTAGAGGGCCGGAGGGGTTTATTTTAAGGTCTGACACTTCAACAGCATTGGTGGGGCCCTGGTATGAAGCCACCAAGATGACCATGAGAGCAGCGATGGCGGTGAAGTACATGATGGTGAAGTCTTGAAGCCGAATGTTCTTTTTGCAGATCCTCATAGCCGAAAGGTTCTATTGTGGCAGCAAGTAGTCGTCTTTTTTCACCTCTTGTTTTGTCTTCCTCAATCTTCCCGAAGTGGAGTTCAATCAAGAAAGTTCTCTCAATGGTGGATTTCTGTGAGAGCTCCACCTCTACACCTCTTTCTGTCCCTGTAAGCCCTGCCCTTCGTTCTGGACTAACTAGACTGTGTCCGTCGCAGTAGTCAGGTGAGGTTGTTTACCCTCTTCTTCCCATGTTTTCTTTCATCTCAGTCACTCAAACTTAATGTTGAGTTTTCCTAAACTTTCCAGTCTTTAGGTTTCTCTGATTCCAAGTCCTTTGCGGGAACTGTCTCTTCCCTCTGAGCCACTGTTCTGTCTCTCTCTTTCCCATGTCCCCGTCCTTGGTTTTTAAGAGACTCCTCCCTTGTGACTTGTCTGTTTTTATCCACGCTAATAGTATTACATTTGTTGAGGGAAATTGGATTGTATCCTTTAAGCCCTGGGGTAAACCATGATTCTTCACATCTGCCAGACCCTAATTGATCCAAATTCAACCATGGACATTATCAACGACAATCTGCTCAGAAAAACTAAACTGTATTGCTCACTCTATCTCTGTCTTTTTGTGTTACTTTAGTGAGCATGATCAAACATTTTCTTATATATTTCCTGACAAAAAGTATTTATCACACTATAGCTCTCACCTGGCTTGTTGGCTATTTGATTCAAAGTGGATTTAGGGTGCAGCAAGCACATGTGGAGGCGTAAACAAGGCATTAATGCATTAGGCCCTTTCCTTTAAGCCACTGCCTCAGGCTTCAGAAGACCTAATCAAACTGTCAATTATGGGTTTCAAACAAAAGAGGGACACATTCAGGGTTGGTTTGAAAGGTTAGTGAAGTGTGTGTGCTCTTTAGACTGTCCCTAACTTTTACACACATTTAATAATCAAACTGCAAAAGGTTACAAACAGGGAGCTTGACAGAACAGTGCATTAGTAGTTACGGGAAAAATATTTTTGACAGTGAGAATGAAATAATTAAGGGTTATAATCGGGTCTACGGACATAATTATTTATTATAAAGACCCTTACCCACTGTCAGAGTCTACTGAGAAAGAAAGAGGCGTTCATATTTTTTTTAACACCTTTTGTTTTCCTATACTATTACAAGTCAAAATATCTGTGTTGTAAAACGCCTATAATTATTTCACTGACACGTTCTTTACCTCTCCTTGTAGAGGCCGGGCTATCAGTTGGTCTACTCTTAATCAATATAAATCAAATGTTGTGTTTATTGAAAGATTATAAGAAAGATAATGGTTTAAGTTATGGAAACAGCCAGTAGGATCCTGTCCTCGGTTGGTATTAGGGAGCGTTTTTTGTTTGCTAGAATGGGTAATGTTTTAAACATTTTTGTTAGACTTGTTGAAATTATTTTTACATCCCGGAGCAAGGCTGGAACAAGTTGTCTACTCACATGTTTTTGATCATTTACAAGTAATGTAAAAATAAAAATGAATGATTAACATTACAGTTGTCCACTCCTAAACTAAAGGGTTGCCTGTGGAAAAAATACCAAACCTTATGTTGCTACCCCTGCAAATCTTGCTTTAGCTTACCTACCTCCAGTGGTTCTTCTCACCCTGCAGCAATAATGTAAAGGTGTAACAAACTGACCACACCCAAGTGAAACAGGCTTACAGCCACAGAGGGCAGTGAAGCTCTGCTTTTCAGCCTGGTGTTATCACTCTTAATAGCAATAGGGATAAGTACAGGATGGATGGACAGTTTACAGAAGATGGCTGCTACACATCTCTGTCCACTGCTTTCATGTAGGGATGATTCACTACATTTAAAATTCCTTTGAATTTCAGGGCAAGCTCGTCATCAAAAGTGCTGTAGGGTAAATGCAAATGCACATTTGCTCATGACGTCAAACCATTGCATTTATTTTCCAGAAGAGGCTCATAAAGGGAAAGGTTTACTTCTGAGCAAAACTAAACAGAGAGGACAAAAGATAAAGGCACAGACTGGTGTTGTGTTGGTTAATATAATAAAGCCCACCAGGCCCACAGGCCAAAAAGAGATGTGTGTGTCTGTGGCTTCACATGAGGCTAAATAATCTTCCCTTTCTCCATGTGTCTTTCTCTTTCTTTTCATCTTTTACACCACCTCACTTACCTCTCCTCTGTCACACTGCTCTCCATTACTGGTGATCACCCTCTCACTCTCTTCCTGCCGTCTCATTTCTCTTACATGCACACTTATCTTACTGCTGCCATTACTGAGGTGTCAGCAAACCTAAACGCCGTAAAGTCGGCCGTGATCTGGATGGAACGACAGAAAAAGAGAGGGACAGAGTGGGGGATGGGTGGGGAAGAACAGATTTAGGGAGAGAATGATGGTCCCTTTGGGTAATCGTGTCATGTTGTGTGTGGGTGCCTGGGGGGCTATCTGACATTTCCCTGCCTAGAACAATTCAGACATTGCCCCTACAACTTTCCCATGATGCTTTGCTGTCAGTTTAGGAGACGCTTATGCATGGGCACGCAGATGCCAAAAAGAATTAGGAATCTCACTGACAAATGATCCATAACTTATGAACATATGTTTTGTATTATGCATAGTTAGTATTGTATGTATTCTCTGATTGAATTATATGAAATGTATTACATAAAGCAATACTATTGAATAGTCCTACAACAGAGACGGCATCAGAGAGATTATTAATGTATTCACAATGATTTTAAAGCCCTTGGATATTTTGTATTCATTTATAGTGTTGCTCTTTTATCAGGTTGGCTAAATACTGTAAATTGCCCATTTATTAATACATACATTTGATCAAATCAAGTAACAAGTTAACAAGTTAAAGCCAATGTAGAATTTGCTGAGCAGCAACCCTTGTGGCCACAGGCGGTAACCACATAAACATCTAAATACAAGTAGTAGAGTCATAAAGTTATCACATAACACAGATATATAAAAGTAAAGTTTGATAACAAAAGCTAATGGAAGTCCCCATAAGCTAAATGTCAAGAAGGTTCAAACCTGAGTGTATATAACTGAGCATAGATATAAATGTGACTTTTCTACAAAACATATATTATGTCACGTCATGTTTAAAGATCCATATTGTTTTTTCACTTTTACTGGTGCCAATAACTTACAAGTTTGCAAACCACCAAAACCAATTGACATCCGTGTAGTTAACCCGGAACATCTGCGGCCCATAAGGGTCTGGGGCCCCAAGGCGGTTGCCCACTTTGCCTGTTTGGTAAACAAGCTTTGACTAAAAGATTGTCCTTAATTGCAGTGGTTAAAGCAATTATCTATTCTACACCCGCTTCATTGATATAGTAAATAAAGCTTTATTTAAATTCTGCAATTGACTCTTATAGGTCGAGATGCCTCTTAGCCACTCTGATACACCTCATCTTGTATGCATGCATGCACAAATGCACACACAAATGCACACACACACACACACACACACACACACACACACACACACACAACACACACACACACACACGCACACGCACACACACAAAAGGCAAAAGGAGAGAAAGTGGAATGGATAAAAGCTGAACTCCCCTCAACATGACAAATGCAACCATCTCAATCTCTCCCAATATAAATATTTCAACGCGGCACACTCTCAAAGTGCACTAATCTCCACTTCTGCCTGTTTGAATAATGAATGCAATAAAAACTCACACTGCTACTCTTAACGTTGCCTCAAACTGCCCCTCGTCTGATCCGAATGTGAGAGGCTAGACGTTGTAGGGCTGGATGAGTAATTAGAGGAGACGATGAGTGAAGAGTAAAAGAGGAGAAAAAAGACAGATGAATAACGAAAGAAAAATAAGTGGTACAACAGTGGCGTTTAGAAGTTGACAAGATGGGAATACTGTGGCACAGAGAGTGTCTCATGGATCACATGAAAGGGACTTAAAAGTAGAAAACAATCTCATCTACGGGTGGACTTCCTGACATGTCCTCAAACAGATCAACAGAGTGAAATGACAAAAGACAGAGGGACAAAATGATCTTTCAAAGGGACGAATGTGTCTGTGGTCCTAATGGACTTTAATGGACGTTTTGTTCCAGACAGATGGACAGTTTGTTTTTCCACCTTGGTTGAACCTTTGGCAGAGGACAGGTGTAATAGTTTAATTATCGTTATAGTGTTGGTTGTCTCATGTGGCTTGGGTGATTAACTGCTGCAACTGTAAGTGGGAAGCTTAATGAATCTTCTCTGCATTCTGGTTTCCAGTGTGAAGAACTCTGATTTATATAGTTGGCTGTGTGCTGGTTGTACATTTGGAGAGTTTGTTCAAGGTTCGAGGTTCAAGGTTCAAGGCTTTTATTTGTTATACGTACATAGCTACAGTATAGTTAAACAATCTTAGGTTGCTGGCTCCACCAACGTGTCTGAGGACATGCACTTTTATTTTATTTCTCCACACTTGTCATGGTGACTTTGGCGTGTAGCCTAATTAAAATGTCTACAATTACAGCAAACTTGCATCTCATGAAGTCCCACAAAAAGACACACAGCTGACAGACTTCTGCTTGGAAGTCAGAAGGGACTTCATCAAGCATCTTGCCCCCCTCCCCTCCCCTCCCTTCCCTCTCTCTTGTCTCTTCTCTCTATACAGTAGCACCCACCGCCAATCTGTGACTAAAGCGCCATCTCTCAGGCTGCACACTTCAGGCTGCATTCACTCACTGGGTCTGCAGGCAGTAAAGAGACACCTCTGAATGAATTTCACTCGTCTCCGCGCAGCGCCGGACCTCTCTCAGCAAATATATGCGGAAATCCAGGAACCGTGCATGTAGATATACAACAGCCGGTATTCTCGGAGACACTTAGCCCGAGAGGCGAGCAGCTGGCTAGTTTTTCGCCAAACATGCGGCGCAAAGAGACAAACACACAAGAGAAGGGGAGGAGATAGATAAAAAGATTAATAAGGAAAAAAAGCTCCGCGTCGATTTGTGTGGAAGCGCTTCAGCAAAAATCTGACCTCGACCTCCTCGGACGGTGGGAAACTGGTGGTTGAAATGGAGATGTCGAGATTTTCTATCACCTCGTCTCCTCCTCCAACACACATGCTGCTGAGGCTGATGATGATGTTTGCGTAGGAGTGCTTTATCTGAGAGCAGTGTTGGTGAAGCGGTCTCTCCTGTTCAAACAACTCCAGACAAGCAGTGGTGTGTGGCTGACGCGTCTTTCCGGAGGCATTGTAATTACTATTGGAGCGTTTATTGGAGTGCTTTTCGGGTGTCTTTCTGCGAGTTTGGAATTGGACAGAAAACGTTTTGCATGCGAATGAAAGGACTGGTGTGGAAAAGTAGTCCTACAGCAAAGAATAAGGACATATATGTTGCCTTTTTTTAATTAACTAGCAACTACACAGGATCAGCCAACCGGTTTATTGTTGGACTAAAGTCGATTGACTTACTGGCACTTCAGCGTTTTGCTGATTACTTTGCTGACATTTGGGCTTTTTTTGCCATTGGTTTCACTATTCAGTGACTGAAGTCGACACAATCTACAAACAGCAGAGGACGCGACCTGAGCTCCAGGGAGCCACCTCCACCCTAGATGTGACCCGGTGAATTCCTCTTATCTCTGCAGGTAAGAGTCCTCATCCTATAAGTAAATAAGATGTTCTTTTATTATCCATACACTCTTTCCTATGTTGGATTTAACATTGGTTGTATAGCAAACCGGGTACATCTTCTTGTTGAGTCATGCATGCCATTTAGTAGTTAGTTTGGAAAGGAGATGAGATAGATGGATAGATGGATGGAGATGGGGAAGCAGAGTGCTACA